TGTCTTGTGCTCTAGAGGAGCTCTTCGTCAACTTGGTGCTATCCTAGAAACTTCGGGACAAAATCTGTAGGGTTCAGTAATTTACTGTGCATACCACTACATAGTTTCAAAACACAGGAATATTTATATGGCTGTTACGCTTGAAAAGATGCGAAAACATCACAAGTTCCGCTTTCTTGTTGCCGGAAAAATTCGTAGGGGTTAATCAAATCATAGCCAGATCTTTTGATCTTTATTCTTTATGTACTTGTTTGAATTGGTTCTTCATGTACAACACCCCTATCAAACCATCCCAACAAGCGTCAAATATCTCTTCACTTTTATCAGTTTTTTGAGTGTTCAATTCACCATATTCATCAAATTGCGTGTTACGTTTGGTGCAAAAATAGTAACTCAGCATTGCCTATAAGCGTTTCCATAGTGAAATTATGCAATTTCCCTATAAGGCTAGCCTAAAAAATGCAGAGAAAAATGCAGCGAGATGCGAGGAGAGAATGTATAAAAATAGCGTTTAAACGACTACCTTTACTTTGAGTTGTTTTCCTATAATTCTAGGATTCCAAGTCTCCCTTCTGGAATTATGAATTAGATTTCATTTTTTTTGCCTAGCGCATTCAGAGGCCCCCAGAAAATTGCCGCAAATAGATCATATATATACAACAGTTTCAAAGTTAGACAATCTTACCATTTTCACCAAATATCATTATGAACACAGGATAATTTTGTTTTGCTAGTCGCAATCTGCTGCGGGAAGCAATTTTTGCAGCACATTTCCTACATTATAATTCTTGTGATTCTTGAGTGGATCTGAATAGTTTTTTGCTTCAATCGCGCTAGTACAACGAAACGAACCGTTGATAATACAAATTTGTAATATTATTTAACAAAGTTATAAAAATCAACGATAAACGCGGCTTGATAATGGAGCTGTATAACAGAATTGCACTGATTACCTAAACAAGGAACATTAACACATTAGCACGTTGGCATTGGCATTGGAAGGGATAATGTAATATATATAGTTGCTTTGCTCTATAAATCGTTCTATGTATCTCACTTTTTCAAATCTAAACAGTCGAGATCCGTAAGGAACCTGCATTGATTTGCGGACAACCAAGTATGAAGTGATGAAGCCAAAAATTAAGATCTTGTTTTAGTACCCCAAAACCTAAATATCATTGTCAGTCGCAAATAAGTTCTGCGAACCCCTCAATGAGTCATACATATATGTCATTATGATGACTCATACTTGGTTCTGGTAGGAGGCGCGAGAGAATACCGTATCCTTGAGGCAGCAGCTCGCCAAAACTGAACACCCCGAAATTTTGACCTGGAAGGTTGCTTACATCCCAAGCATGAGAACAGAACCAGGTCCGAGCGCACAGCATGCTGCCCTTGCCTAGAAAACTGCCCCTAAATCCGTTACCGCAAACCATTCTAATACGCGTGGACGAGCTTGCGATTCTCCCTGACTCGTCAGAGAAGGCATGCCGCAATGTTATAAGTGCGAGGGTCCCGCAACGATCCTGCCTCTAACAATGGCGGGACGCGCTCCACTCGTCCAAATTCAAAATGGGAGGTCTTGGAAAATGGTGGTTTTTGCCATTTTCGAGCTCTTCGAGGTGAATTTTCGGAATCAGCGCCTCAAATTACCCCAGGTAAGCAAAAAAACTTCAAGTCGAGAATCTACCGAGCCGCTGTCTTTAAGCATAATTATGTGACAAGCTTAGAGAAATGCCCTGAGACAGCGAACGCTGCGAGTAGCTCAGACGACGCGGCTCGCGAGAATCCAAGCCGCGCCGACCATGACACTCACATTGAAATTCCTGTATGTCTTTTGGCAGGCGCGTAAATGGTGTATTCACACCACAACTGGATTCAGAACGAGGTGCAGACTTACTGAAATTTTGCCACCCAACAGATAGATATCTTTGTATCGTGTTAATGGGTTCGATTTCTCATTTTTTCTAATTCCACTAATCCATTGATTGTTGCTCCTTACTATAGGCACAAAATGCTTAACATCATCGCTACCTTCCCTCCTCCTCTCCCCGCCAGTATTCTTTCCAGTGATCATTCATTTTGATAATGCTTATCGTGTACTATAGCGGTTGCCACACAGTTTTCTACACATCTGCAGAACCAGTTTTTGTTATTGCATACGTCTCTACAAAGGGTGTGCCCTTGTATCCACGTCTATGACAATCAGTGGGTGATTGTAAACAACCCCTAACCGTAAACAGCGCAGAAAAAGAATGAGTAAACATTGTAGAGTGGTGTTTCCTTTTCCTGTGTAATTCTCTGTGGTGATGAAGAGCGGAACGATGATCCGCTTAGGTGAATTTAGTGGTTGTCCGTGTAAAAAGTGCCGTCATCTAGCACTACCTGGCACAGATGGCCAACGTCAAACCTGCGCAATGCAAAAAATTGGTGAGTGCAAAATCGTTGCTGAATGGGTCACGTAAGGAAATTAGGTGATTCGAATAAAGGGACACACAGCAATTATCTACTACACATTTACGCGGATATTTATGACAGGTTTCAAATTTTAGCTTCTTTCACTTCTTGTTGATTTTCGAAGAGAAAATGGGAAGTACAAAAATAAGCAATTGCAAATCCAATATTGCTTATCTAGGCAAAGAGGTGAAGTAGACATCTTCCCAGATAACTAGTGAACCAGTAATCAAAGGTGCTAGATTTGCATCCGCGCGCTTCAGGACGCACCGCGGTTTCCCGCTGTCAGATTTTTTTTAAATCGGCGTTACGATTCTTACAGATTAGATAGATTTTAAATTAGATTTTTTGAGATAGTTTCTAATTTTTTTGCAACCTTGTATTTCTGAAAAACCTGAAAAAGAATTTCTACGACGAACCTGATTTCTTGCTATAAATTAATTTTGATTGTTTGCAGTTGTCAGCTACCTGCTCATAGGAAGAATTTTTAGAGTCTTTTCGAACTTTCCACCAGCATGTAAACTCTAGAGCCTGAAAAATCTCCGCAGAAATAGTTTGGATTTTCTTTTGCTTTGCAAAAATATTTTTTGTTTAAGACTACTACAAAATTGCATCCCGTGTAGACTACTTTCAACAATGTCACTATCCATATTTACTTCAGTCCCCCTCCCCGCTTCTCGGTCCATCACCGTGTGCGTCTGGCTTTTTTGATATAGCAAGCCAGAATGTTCGGAATAGACCTGTTTATCAATATTTCAACTTTAGTATAATGCCTCTATTTACGAGCGGAAAATATACCCACATGGCGCCATTCCAATTCTTACTACATTGCAGTTTTCATTTCTTCTTCAAAAATCATCCCCTTCATCTTTAACCCTCTTTCTACCTCTTATTCTTTTACCGTTGCGTCTACTAACTCCTGGCGTTATCGCTGCCATTTTTGGAATGTCCTGCGGTTGTTTTACGATCTCCCGTGCATATTTTATTTCAAACACCATATAAGCAAGTGCATAAAAATAATCATATACGGTTTTCGTTCTTTTATTCGTTATAGATATATACAGCAGCAATAACTATGCAGTATATTCTTTAGTGGTACATTTGAGCGAAAACAATGTATGTATTAGAAAGCAGATACATTGCTTACTTATGATACATACATATAGGCCTATTTTTATATTCGGAAGACTTACATCAGCGACAATTCCTAAGGCCTCGGGCAGAGTTCAGCGATTTGATCGTCGCGATCGCGACAAGGCAACTGTAACAATATCATTGCATGCCGATCTTCTTGCATTTCGGTTGTGATAGTTTTCCAACACGACTAATCGAGACTAACTATCACAACCGAAATGCAAGAAAATCGGCATGCGATAAACTCGTAACACTTGTCTTTAGCGATTGAATCAAGACGATCAAATCTCGTTATAAGCTCCTGCAAGACGAAGGCGGTCGGTTCGATGTGCGACGTGGGTGTGACGCGGCTGTGACGCAGCTGTGACGCAGCAGTGTCGCAGCCGCGTTGCACATCGAATCAACCGCCTTCGTCTTGCAGGAGCTTATAACTCTGCCCAAGGCCTAATATGACTCAGAGAAAATTTAGTTCTGAAAATCACGTTTTGTATTACCATTTCAAAGCTGCTAATGATACGTACCCTTTACAACTGGATTGGCTGCTGGAAGGTGGAGCATCGTGACTCTAAGGCTAGGGAGTGATCAGAGAGCACGTTCACGCGAGAGACGCAGACTGCGTCGCGGGCGCGAGCGGCCACCTTCGCCGCCAGTCTCATTGAATCAAAAGGTACAGTAGTTGATTCGTTCCTGTGAGTTACTTCTTATGACAACCTTGCAAAAAAAACCGAAAGGTTTGAGCGTGATCGAAGAACAGCATTAACTAACAAAATTTGAAGGTGGTTTATCTGTTCAATGTTTGCGCTTGCTCCGCAAATTGTAAATGTTCTCCTTTTTTGGCAAAATATCACAATCGAACTTGTTGTTAAACTGCTGTATAATCCATATTTCATGGTTTTGAAGTGTCTCTCCGGTCCTGATAGTACTTGCGCGTAAAAGATGGCCACTAACGTGCAATTGATTTTTGCGCTCCCTGGTAACTTCTTGCGCGCAAGTGTTGCGACGATCAATGCAAGAACGCTATGTATAGTCTGTCCAGTCGGGATCAGGACGAACCGAGGCCTACGTCTGCGCTCGCAGCGCTAGGATTGCATATGAGCAGTGTCGGAGAGAGCGAAGAGATTGAGGAGAGAGCAGACAAGCAGGCCGTGGGTGCAAACCCTAGCGACGCGGACTCCCGCCATGCCAGTCTTGGTGATTGGGATTGAACCAAACTGTACACTAGCCGTCAAAACTACTAATATTTGAGTGAGTCACCAGTCACCAACGAAGACGACGTTGGTGACTGAGTTGAGTTTGAGACTTACATTTGAGTGAATCAAAGTAGGATGAGCGGAAATAATAATAGCAACATGCGATAAGTCTTCTCGACACAGGTACAGTTAGTTCCCATTTTATACAGCTATCTACGTGGAATGGGTGGATTATGCAGCAAAAAGAAAGCAGATCAGGGTGAAGGAGGTGACGGCGAAGGAGCACCACCACCTGCAGGCAGAGATGGTGGAGCAGCTGGTGGAGCAGCCGGTGGAGGTAACTTCTTGAGTAGGCTTTTCTCATTCAAGTCATAGAAAAGTGAAAATTGCCTAAGGATTCGGCGACAATGTTGGGAGCTTTTAGTAAAGGTTTGTCGGCGGTTAGGATAGTTCTACAATAATATTTAATGAATTTCACGATTATGGCTTGAAGTATTATTTTCTTTGCATTGTACAAGCACAATGGTCCAAGGGTCGTTCCTAACTCAAAACGATTTACAGCCCACAGGGGATCCCATTCTGAGTGTCGCGGTCGGCGCGATTCGGTCCTCGAGAGCCGCCTCGCCTGGGCCACTCGCTCCTTCGCGAACTATCTCGGCGCATTTTCCTAAGCTTGTGCGGCATGGAATTTACCGCATGCGAGATGCCCCGGGACACGTCTTCACCAGGGATTCCCTGTAAATTTTCTCTGACGTGCAAGGTTGAATTCGGATCTTGGCTCGTTGCCAGCACCCGCACACATGCTCCTGCTTGTTCATGTCAAAACCTGTCCGATTTGTGTCGAGTCCGGTAAAACTTTACAAAAAACGCGTAAAACCTGATTGAACAAGTGGAGAGCTAGATATAAGAAATCCGTGATTGTAAATTTGAAGCGGTCTCGTGCGCGGCGAGTACATCCATCCAACTAATTGGGATATCCCTTCCAACTCCTTTCCACCCCCCCCCCCTCCTCCTCCTTTTGAATCGACCAGTTTGTAGCTTTCGTGTAAGCCATCTACGCAGACACATCGATGCCTGAGAAATGGCCACATCTTCAATTTGTCGTGTGTTGTTGGCCTCGGACAGAGTTCACGCGATTTGATCTTCGCGATTCATCGCTACAAAAGAAATGCTACGAGTTCATTGCATGCCGATCTTCTTGTATTTCGGTTGTGATAGTTAGTCGCGATTAGTCATGTCAGAAAACTATCACAACCGAAATGCGGGAAGATTGTCATGCAGTGATATTGTTACAGTTGTCTTGTCGCGATCAATCGCGACAATCAGATCGCATGAACTCTGCCCGAGGCCTTAAACTTCCAGCTTTATTCATTTCTGCCTTGTACCCCGGTATCTTGAATTATAGATATATCATTTCACAGATTTGAGAGATATGAAAACGCTACGTTCGCTTGTGCGGTGTGAGTGCCTTCACATTTCTGATGTTTTACCACCAGTTATGAAAAAATCCAAGCTTTTTGGCATCCCTGGCCTATTCAACAGCAAACTTTGAAACTGAAACTTACCCTGTAGCGCGTATTCACTGCAAACAATATGTTGATTTTGTGATCGAAAACCTAACCATGTGTCTACCTGAACGTATGCTCTCAAGGGAATTCCAACACGTTTTATCGATGAATACGACCACTGTGCAAAGCGTTCGCTTTCTCTTAGGAATCGGCCAGAATTTGGCAGTGTTGAGGTGCTGAAAGTGTTGCCGATGTTAAAAGTGTTAAACGTGAATCACCAGTTGCAATTCCATTTTTCTTTGGGCGATCTCACCGGCTGGTGAGTAAGTTTGAAATAGAAATGGGAAATGAGAAATGAAATTTGATAAGAAGAAATGCTTTCGCATGCAAAAGATCCTCATACAAAGTTTATGGAAAGTAGGGCCTTGTTTTGAACAGGCAGTCTCCAAATGAGAGCGCTGGTCCCATAAATAGGTCTTCTACTCACTAATCGCCGTGCCGGAACACCCAATAGGCATCTTATATATAAAGCTGAATGTCTGTCTGTATGTATGTCTGTATGTCTGTCTGTACGTATGTGCGGAATAGAAATTTTTATTTCTGAACCGATCGGGACCAAACTTGGCACACATATACTTCGGGGCAGGGAGCGTGTCATAGGCTACTTTTCGTTATCGATCGATATCGATTTTATCGATTTTTTGCAAAATTTGAGCTAGGGGGCTGGGATTTTGCACAGGGGGGTAATCGAACATGCTGATCACCCCCGTGGGGGTGATCAGCATGCTCGATTACCCCCCTGTGCAAAATCCTAGCCCCCTAGCTCAAATTTTGCAAAAAATCGGTAAAATCGACATCGATCGATAACGAAAAGTGGACTATGACACGCTCCCTGCCCCGAAGTGTATGTGTGCAAAGTTTGGTCCCGGGCGGAGCCGGGTTTGCCATCTAGTCACTCATAAGATTAGCAGCGTTCTCAAGTTTTGGAGATTGCTTATTTGGGACGAGTCCTCTACTTTCCAGTTCGTATGAGGATCTTCTGCGTGCGAAATCAATCTATTTCATTTTCATTTCATTTCTCATCTCCCATTTCCACTTCAAACGTACTTCCCAGTTGGTGAAATCGCTCAAGGAAGAATGGAATTGCAAGACTGATGATTACCACAGTCACTACTTCTAACATCAGCAACACTTCCAACACTTTCAATACCGACAACACAGCAAACTTTTGACCGATCCCTTCATGCACGAATGTAGTACGAGTATATATCGATGTGCATGTCGTAAACAAACTGGCCGGCGCTATCATATCAGTTAGTGCCACGAATCGATGTTGTTTTGAAGTTCGCGCCTCTAGCTAGGACCGCGCCGAACGCCCCTTGATGGGCGGCGCAGCGCCTAATGTTGTTTTGTGCCGTCGTGGCGTTCAGCGCTGCGCCGTTCCGTGCAGCCGGCCTCCCACTGTGGAAATTTCTCGAATTCTCCTCTACGTCTCTGACTGCGTGGCTGCCCCTATCTGTCTGTTGCGGCTGCGGTCTAATTTGAAAATGTTCTGCTGTTGGGCCTACGTTCTTTGCTGTTGGCAGTTTTTGCGTGTTTGTCGTTTGTGTCGAATAGTTGCTCAGATTTCTCCATAACGCTAAATACTATGTGCTCAAACTTCCTCCTCGTAGGCTCTTTTTCTCCAAAGCTCTTTTATAAAGTGTTGTTTATCTCTATACTTTTCAGTAGCCCAGGGTAATATGGCTCGTCCACAAGTATTCTTCGATATCACTATCGGTGGCAAAGCTTCTGGCCGTATCGTCATGGAGGTGAGTAAACAAAACTGTGGTGGTCGTCTACTTTAACGTTTCTCGTAGTAATCGTGAACAAATCAACAGCGATAAGAGTATTCTGTTTTGAGGAAATGCAGAACATTTGTAGACCATAGCAAATTTTTGAGCTTCTTTCACGTAAATTATGCTATTACGCTGTAAACGACAAACTCAATCTCAACAGCAGCTGGCAATTCTACCGCCAGGAATTTGCATTTTATGTGATCTTTTCCGAAACTCATAAAACATCATCATTAAGCATTCCTCATTTAGCTCTATTCGGACATCGTACCGAAAACCGCCGAAAATTTCCGTGCCCTTTGCACTGGCGAGAAAGGCATGGGCAAATCGGGAAAGCCGCTTCACTACAAGGGGTGCAAGTTCCATCGTATCATCCCGAACTTCATGATCCAAGGTGGAGATTTCACCCGTGGAAATGGTACTGGTGGCGAGTCCATCTATGGTGAGAAATTCCCTGACGAGAACTTCAAGGAGCGACACACTGGTCCGGGAATCCTTTCCATGGTAAGTTTTCGATAGCGGCAGAGAGGTGTGCACTCTGGATCAATATGTTTTGCAGTAGAGAAACACTGTCCTGAATAATCGCATTTTAGGCCAATGCCGGGCCAAACACCAATGGATCGCAGTTCTTCCTTTGCACTGTGAAAACTGAATGGCTCGATGGCAAGCATGTTGTATTTGGTCGCGTTACCGAGGGCATGGATGTCGTGAAAGCTATCGAAAGCTACGGTTCGCAGTCCGGAAAACCATCGAAGGACTGCGTTATTGCAGACTGTGGTCAGCTATAGACGGCTGCCTGATCTCTGTTGTTTTTCGTTCATTCTTTTCGTAATACCTATGTGTGTTTACCGGTAACCGTCAAAATTTGTTGTATAATTTATTATTATGCATGATTAAGTAAATCTAATAAGTCGCGGCTCTCTAGATAACCTTTTTACACTGGAAGTGTGAGAAATCAATATTGGCTAAGCAATTAAGCTGATTGATGTCGTTGCCATGAGGCGGCTTCTTTCAGAGTGCCTATGAAATGGGTTGATTGAGTTTCTATCGATTTGGGCTTCTCTGCAATTTGTTGTGTAAAAACAATGTAGACATCGGTCAACGAGCGCAAAAATTCAGCTCAAAGTGCGTATTTAAAAAAAAACTTCCAAAATGGTTTACGGTCTAGATAGTTGCTGTGAGCTCAGCTCATCTGTATGGATGCATTATGCAGGGCAGGGAATTAGCATTTCGTTGGAATACCCTCATTTTCGCTGCAGCTTTTTTCTCGTTCAGCAACAACTTTTTTCGAGGTCACAAAAAAGAATGAGAAAGGGCAAGGTGAGTTGTTATTGTTTTGCAGATGCTTTTTTTTTATGTTTGCATCTGCGCTGCAGCAGTTTTACTGTCCACAGTGAGAGTATAGTTTGATTGTGCTTATCGGTATATAAATAACAGGAGAAAGCGCTCCTTTTTGATGAGTCATGATTCTTCAAGTATCTCTTGTAGTCATTTCTTGACTCATTTTCTTTGAACACTACAAGGCAGGCGAAGCACATTATGCAGACAGCTAGTGGAGTGTTTTATTGATATTTGTTTTTTTTTTTGCACTTACCCTGGCTCTAATTTGGATATTGACTTCTTCTCATTGGCTTATGATGGAAAAGGAGCCGTTTTTTTAGTAGACGTTCTTACTCTGCAAACGATTAGAGAGCAAACAAGGCAGATTGAGTTTTTTCCCTGCAAGGGCGCGTGAAATCGATTGGCAGTCTATTTATAATGAGAGCCGTAGTCATTTTTCATGGACCTACGTGATGTCCTTTCTCTGTATATTGTGCACGAAGTTTCGGAAAAACGTAGGTATGAATGCCCTTCACTTTGTACACGCAAATTACGAAATTACAATTCTGTAGTAAACTGATTCTGTTCACTTGCTAGAGCGAGGATGTGCATTTCGTCCGAGCCTCAAGGCAAAATCGGCAACAATTGTATGCGACAGACAACTAATGTGAATAAGTAAGAGTGTCCCACTATCATATGGAGTGGTCTCATTTGCAGGGTTTGGACAGGTGGCTTGTAAGCATGCTAGATATCGTTTTTTGGACAAAAAGCAAAGCGGATATTGTTTTTGTGGGTCCGAAATTAGACTTTTCTGCATTTTGGATAAGGGCAAAGGGGATTTCGTAAATTTTGCGAAATTCAAGGAGGGCTTCGTTAATTGTATCGGAAAGTCACCTCGTGCTAAGCCCTGCTCATCTGCAGCAACATCTTGAAGCTAAGTTGTGCAGACTCTCAATATAGGCTTCAGATTTCGTGAATATCGGGAATTCTGCTTTTGAAACTCTAAGTTTGAGCAAGAACCACTATATCGAACTGCTTGCTCTTCAGGCGATTTTAGCTCAGGCCCGAAGTCCGGAAATGGAGGTTTTAGACCGGAAATCCTTTTTCAATGCTGGCTTTGATTGGGTGGAGGACATTAGGTCGCCGAATTTGGAAGAGTCCCGCGCGGATTCCCTGCAGGAACGCATGTCCGCGTATGTACAAGGGTGCGTATTTGTCGCAAATGACCGCGGGGACCGCCCTCTTTCGGCGACCTAATGTCCTCCACCCGCTTTGATTTAGCTTTGTCTCATCGGCTTATGATGAAATGGAGCCGTTTCTTTTTTTTATTGAGTCTGCTCAGACATTTCGTCACTTTGCGTTTGTTCTGGAGGTGCAGACATCTGCATTGAGTAAATCCAGAGAGAAGTAAAATGAGTCATTAAGCAGTGTAAAAGTTCCACCGCTCTGGATTGTGATCCTACGCCTGTAATTTGTAGGAGGTGATGGATAGAACCGGACGCATAAAGCAGCTGTACGAGCGCTACTCAACATGAGTCCTATGTCATGAAATGCTGAAATGCTCTTTCATTTACTTTCTTTATGATTTCAACTTTTTAGTGTGCATACAACTGATAAAATAAATAATATTAGGTTGGCTGTAGATCTCTGTATCAAGGTTGTTATTATTCAGCTCATTTTTTTTGCAGAGACGCACTTCTAACTAGGAAAGCATGCTTGGACGATATGGCCTTTTCAGATGATATGTAGACGATAAGAGCATAAAACTCTAACTTCAAATCTGCCTTCCTTATTGCGTAACGTTTATGGACGAGGAGTTATGAGCGCTTATTGGAGTAAGAAATTGAGTGTGCAAGTAGGAAAAAATAGCATTATTTTTCCAGTGCTTTGTCGGTGCAATGATAATTGTCAGAGTTCTTTAGTCTATAATTTTTCAAAGGTGAAAAAATTTGCCGCACTTGGCTGCATTGTTTGAGGGCTGCTAAGATTTTAGCAACTCAAATTATCCTAAATGCAGTTTTTATTTTTTGCTCCAAAAACGCTAATAATTCTTCGTCCACAAATGTTCCGCAAATAAGAAAAGCAAATTTGGTTCATCCTCTTCAGTATAGTATAACCCAATTAAAAAAGGCCACTTTGATTAAACATGCTTCCCTAATGAGTTTACTGTCATATCAACTCCGACTTTTACATGGACAATGAGGGACGGGTTTGAAAAAAGGCTAAATCTTCTAAAACTCAGCAGCAATAATGAGGATTGTGATCTGCCATTTCAGTTTTTTTGATTGAAAATACGAAACTAAAATGCTGTTTTGAGCAAATCAAACCCCGTACGCAGTTTCTACATTTCACCCCAGAGGATACTCAACAAGTAAAATTTCTTATTAGGCTAAACTGGGACTCTGGCTATGAATAGAATCACACTTTACGATAGAGTTTTTTCCTAGGTTATGCCAAGTGAAAGGCAATAACGTTTTTCCAGTGTTTTTCAGAAGTGCTCTAAAACCAATTAGAGCGAAAAACTCGTAAGTAGTTGTCTTATGAAATCGGCTTGACTAAAAACACCAACTTCCTGAATCTTCTAAACCTTTTTTTGAAGTGGCCTATTTTACAGTGCCGTTGTATGCCGAGAGTTCCCTTCGAAATTTCAAAGTAATCAAAATCGATCGGTTTTGCATAACACTGTAATAAGCTAAATTGAAGCTAGCTGTACAGCTTTGTGGGAAGAGAGATATTAACGATTTTAAATCATGTACACACTCTTTATTTTACACAAAATGCTTGTTTAATTTTTTTGTGCCCTTGAGACAAATGCTTTGGTTTCCTGAGGCTTAATGCAGGACTCCCTCCTTCCGCATCGTTTGCTCTTCTAGCAATTACGAGCCGAAGCAGATAAGCAGCAGCTTCGTTCGCTTTGCATAGCCCTCATCTCTCAGAAATGTCATCTCTAAAATTAATCCCCATGTTTGACATATCGACCGAAGACATGAGTTTTTATGAGGGCGCTTTCTGGCCAGATTAATTTGATATGCAGCGCTAGAAAGTTACTTTCAAGCGTGACGAGGTGAAACATTAAAGATTAGGCAATGTTATTAGGTTGTCTCATGATTTTTTACCGTTTTCAGTTTCCCCGCGATAAGTCGTACTCTTTTGCACCTTGAATAGGTTATAGGCTACCATTCAAAAGAACAAAATAAGCTTTACAAGATGGTATCCAAACATTTACAAAAAATCTATCCCCCATAATGTGCAAAGGCAAAGACTAAAAAAATCCGAACACCCAAAAAAAATCAAGAAAAAATCGTATCTTCATTCAAAAAATTCCATGGATATCCTACTGACCCACCACATATTCTCAACATATGACATTTGTCTGTAAGTTTTTTCAAAAGATACCTATAAAAGATGTTATTCCGATTTTTTCACAAGCACTTTAAGTCTTTGATAAGTCTTTCACCAAGGTAATGCATGGGGAGGGGGGGGGGTTGCTGAAAAAGCTCCTTCCTGCGAAAGGACTTCAATCTACCAATAACATCCCCGAGTAAAATTGCAAAGAATTTCAAGAGCAAGCTAATGGACAAGACCCGATAATCTTCACTGAGGAGCATTTCGAGGAAGGTAAAAAGCACTCGCTACGTCAAAAATGTGCGTTTATGCTTTTGGAGCGCATATTTACCTATCAGGGTAATATCAGGTTGGATGAAAAATAATCTCCTTTTTTCATGCAAATCCCCACAAATTTTTCTTGTTGTTTTGTATCTACGATTTTCTGAGAGGAGTTGATCAGGGCTTCTACTATCATATATGAACCCATTCAGAATTTTTATTCACATTAAGGACCGTTATTCCCTAATATGCCCAAGTTCCCAAGAGCTCACAATCAGTTCTTTAATTACCTAAGCTTCGTTTTCTTGCTGTGGTTTAGGAAGAAATGAGTAATCGGGTATATGGATGCAACCGGGTTCTCCCTATTCACTCAGACAATTGCATCGGAAAGTTCGCGGCCCCAAAGCGTGTTACATGGCGCGTCGCGGCCCTTAAAATTTCAACCGCACACGCCGCGGCCCATGTATATTTTACCGGGAACGCCGCGGCTAAAGTTGAAATCGGGAAGAGGTTATCGGGAAGGTCGCGGCCCAACCACCTCACTCGGCGAGCCGCGGGCCCTATCAAAGGCCGCACTTCTTACACGCTGTAGTTTAAGGCGCAACCCTCGTGAGGTACGTCGCAGCGATGGGGCTACCCTAAGTGTTTGTGAGGCTGGGTATCGCTTCTCGGATTTGATCCTATCTGACAGAGTTGAGTTTTTATGCTGATGAAATAAATTTCAGCAGTCGGATGAGTAATATCGACGACATTAGATGATGTCGACAGATGAGCTATCAAGTCGCTCAATTTATGCTCAAGACGTTGTAATGAAAGACACGCCAAAAGATTTTTTACTCTTCCTAGGCCTCACAAGCATGCTAATCGGGTCAACTATCGGGCGCTTACAGGGTGCGCCGCGGTCACTTATCGGGTCCAATTTCGGTTTGTACCGGGCAGCTCGCGGCATGGATGATTGGTGGTCGAGCAAGCACCCGCGAACTTCCCGATGCGATTGTCTGAGTCAGGCCTATTCAGCGAACGATAATAAAAGTCGTTACCTGCCATTTTGGAATTCCCTCATTCAAAAAACGAAAGATTCTCGCTTGCGCACAATGTGAAGAAAGTGATTTCACTTCTTTGCGCTTTTTGTGATAAGGGGATAGAATTCCAAGAATACTTATATTAATTCTCATTGCAGTGCTCCCTCTAAAGATGTCAAACTGAACGAAAATTTGTCTGCAACATTTGTAGGATCCGCAAAGGCAAACGAGATTATTTATTAGCCAAACTATATCATCTTTATGAGTAGTACACTCTCATCTTTGCCAAGTATGAATGAGACTGTTTATGAAGAAGATGATTTATAGTTGCGGCAAAGCATACTCTTACTCATTTCTATATCTGTACGTTCCAAGTGCGGTTCCACTATGTCTAACGTTCCGGTGAGTCCGCAGTTTGGCAACTTGGAAGTACTGTGAAGAACGATGGGCCTACTTCGTGAACAAAGAGCCAAGGCCATGCAACAGTGGTCGAATCGATGCGATTTTCTCGAACAGCGATAGCCTTTACACTGTACGCTGACCACCTGGTCGGTTACGCCGAAGAAAGATCAACAAAGATTGGCGCCGCGTGGGGTAGAGGGTTTTTCCACACGAGTTTTGAAAGTGCCTGTATGTGCTTTGCCTCATATGAATGTCAAAGCCTCTTCACCTTGGTATTCAGAAATTTGAAGTTTGTAGCCACTTACAATGAAAACTGTTTATACAGACTTAACGATTCATATCGTGCCTCGTCGGTGCCTACAGCATTTGCGCGTGTAAAATGGATACAGAGAGCGCGCATCTTCAAGTCAACGTCCCATGGCCGATTATTCTCGAGTAAGTGTTGTCGGCACCGCAAGGGCACTATACAGACAGTCAAGTCTAGGCTCATTCTGATTCTAGGATCAAAGTGCATAATCAATGATTTCCTATCATGACTTATAATAAGCGGCTTAATCTGAAGTTGTGTGGAGTTTGTCCGTTACGAAATTACAGTGAGGAATGATTTACAATAATAAACAGCATGTGAGGTTGAGATAGCGAGTATGGTTCATTTTTAACTACGGCTCCCACGTTGCAGTCAACCGAACAATGATTTGAGGGACAAGCTCTGAGACAGTGAGTTTACCACGGTTCATGATAGCCAGTGCGAACCTCTGCGAAGCAGGGGTGAAGCACTGGTGTTATTCTATGTGTCCGACACAAGCTTTGATTTTCAAAAATTCTTGGCCCCTTATCAGCTCACAAGGCGGTTCTCAGCTAGAGACCAACCTTCGTTGCTGATGCTCTAGAAATGAAACTTACTGACGTCAGTGGATCATTTTGCATGTTTTCGCCATTCTTAACATACGTCAAGGATAGCGGTGGGGATTAAAGAACAAGCCATTGAAGGCAAACGATAGCTGAGCAATTTGGGGCTTGCTCAAAGATCTGAGTTTTCAGTTACGTTCCTAACTAAGTTCTCACCAACGTTCCAGTTAAACGTAGTTTTACCTCAGTCCATTCGTGCTTCGATACAACCTTTCAATCAGCGTCAGCCGAAGGTATCCCTTCAAGGTTGTTGAAGGCTGAAAACTAAATTTCGGCTTGTCTTGGAAAGCTGTCCTATCTAGTAGCCCAGTAGTAAAATGACTTTTGATCCCAGGTTTAATTCAGTTTTCAATCACTCTCAAAGTCCGGGTTATTCGACCGTTTAAACACAGAAACGTAAAGGACTGCAAAGTCATCCGCAGAGTTGCATAACTCAACATGAACCAATTCTCCTCTAATTTAACATTTCAATGGATAGGCGTAGATCGGGAGAGCTACAGAGACGAGGGTACGTTCCAAATGGCGGAGATTGAAAACTTACAGCGCTGCAAAGCAAGCATCGATAACAGATTGAATCGCGACGATCGAATCGTGTGAACTCTGTCCAAGGCATAGAGTGAGTTTGTTCGAAAATAACAGCCATTCTAACGAGATACAAGCCTTGACACACCTGTGTGCCAAGCGGCCCTGTGTCAAGGGTCGTCAATGTTTTAAAAGGCAAAGCTGGTGTTCATGTGAGAGCTCTATGAAAAATTGAAGTTTCGCGAGAAAGAACATGGTATGTACCGGTTAGCAAGAAGAAGAGCGGAACCACAAAAAATATGTAGCAATTCCCCCATATCAAAGACAGACTTTGTAGGATGCTAAGAAAACCAGAGGACGCTCCGCAAAATGGAGACCCTCCTTCGAAGGGATGGCCATCACAGGCCGCACCGTTATCTCCATCCCAAAAGGTGTCCCATGGAAGGAGCAGCACCAACAGGCAGGAAGAGGATGTATAGCGCTACGTCTAAACACAAGAGAGACAAAGAATGGCAAAGCGACCGACGACATACCAAGCGAGTATCAGAAAATACGTAGATAATTCTGAGCCTCATGGCTAACCAGTCTATTCAGCTGAAACCTAAGGCTCCCGCCAGAGGTGCCGAAGTTATGCCAGCGCTATGCCAGCATTTCGATCGATACACGTGTATTTCGTTGGGGCGGGGCTAGCTGACGTCCCCAACGAAATACACGTGTATCGATCGAAATGCTGGCGTAGCGCTGGCATAACTTCGGCACTCTGGCGGGAGCCTAAGGAGCAAGACTATATACCAGCGCAACGATCCCGATATGGAAGGACGAAGGAGACGCAGTAGACGGCGCATCCTAAGGACCAATCGGACTGATGAGCCATAAGATTCTCGAGCGAATAATCGAAGCGCGGTTTGAGGGATAAAGTTGTCACGGAGTAGGGATTTATGAGAGGAGTAAGTACCATCGACGTCACCCGCTCTGCTCGAAGAGTAATGGAGTAGAGAGAAGCAGAAGGAGTTGCATGCAGCCTTCGTTGACCCGGGAAAAGTCTCTGATAAGTTGCCCCATGAAGTCACATGGCGAAGTGCGCAAAAACATGGTGCCAGAGGAGTATGCCCGGTGGACGATACTGATCTACCGCAATGTTTGAAGGCAGTGGCTCGACAAAACTCAACCTAGTCAAATTTTCGCTTACCTGGGGCTATTCAATACGCTGATTCCGAAAATCCACTTTTGAGAAATTGAAAACGCCGAAAACGAGCTTTTTTCAATGCCCTTCCCTTTTAAATTGGACGAGTGCAGCAAGACTGATGACGCCGAATCGTTGCAGGACCCAATGGTTATAGCACTGCGGCGGGCAGCCTCCAATAGTGAGAAGGAAATTGCCAACTCGTTCGGATGCGTGTAAAAATGGCCTGCGCGTGTAAGTTTGAGAGCAATTTTCTCGGCAAGGAAGGCATGCTGTGCAACCGGGATTGCACTGTTTTCATACTTGGGCAATAAGGAGTCTACCGAGTTAAAATTTTGAGTTGTTGAGTTTTGCCGATCCACTGCCTTCAAGCCGTTCAAACAGCTGCAGGATATCGAGGCACTTCCGAATCAAGGCTGAAGTACACCAAGGTTCAGTTTTCTCCCTGGTCTTCATCAATATGACTAATGCAGTGATGGAACTATTCAAACGTGAACCTCCTTGTACACTCCTCTACGCAGGTGATGTCTTGATAGCAGGTATTAGAAAAGAATCGTAATCTGATGTACGAAGTTGTAAAAGCAAGATGGAGTTGCATGCCTTAACCTAAGTAAAATACGATATGAGGAAGGAGACAAACTCCAGGAACCAGAAGTATTGGTGGCTAAGAGCTATTGTCAACAACGTCATGCAAATCTAATTAGTCACATCTCAGCTGAAGGAGGCCGAGGAGGTTGCGATTAGGTGAACACAGCGTGGATGAGACTGAAGCCCTTGGGAGATGTCCGGTTTCGGTATGGCAGTAAAAGCTGGCCATACATGTATGCAGAAAGGAGCGCAAACTCATTGTCAAACAAGGATGCTACGATAGACCTTAGACATTACACCGAAAGCACATCTGCAATATCACACTATACGAGCCCGAATGAGAGTAGCTCCAGTTAGTCGCACAGGACGCGCACCACCTAGGACTCATAGACTCACCGGTGGCGACAAGATGAGTTGGGGACGAATCAAGGCCAAACAACGAGAACTAGAAATACGTCAAGATCTTGCCTTTGATAGGAAAACATGTAGACACCTGATAAAAGCGGATCCTGTATAAGCGGGACTCATGCGAGGTAAAGAATTGAAGAATGTGAATATTGGCAAAGATGCATAGAACATATGAAGCTTATTCAGTAAGAGGAGTTAACACTGAGAAGGTGTACTCGGTGTGCAACAAGACCTTTTAGAGCTGGACCCGGTTGCGCAGCGTACGCCCCATACCCAAAGGCTACCGCATGACGAAGGCGCAGAAGCGGCATTAGTTGAGCGGACGCGAACCTCGGCGCGCGCTTATCTCCACCGTTGCAAATCCTGCGCCTCATGCGCTCTGCGGCTAATAAAGCCGCGTTCGCGCTCAAACATATTGCGCCTTCGTCATGCAGCAGCCTATATATGCACGTGCGTATCGTCGATTCGTTGATCGCGCGGACTGCTCAAACGTTGCGGACCACACACGGCGCAGCTGAGTTGTTGCGAGAGGACGAGCTGTGCAATGGCTTGTATCGGGGCAAGGGTTTTTCCTCGCGGCGCGTGCTCGCAATGGTGTCCAGTCCGTGTAGTAAAGGATCGACGGTACGCTGCGTACATCCTGAACGCCACGTACGTTGCGAAGTCTAGCTGAACTCTCCCCCCCCCCCCCTTATATGACCTTGAAAAAGAAGCGAGATAGAGGAATGAGGCAGCAAATAACTATAATGAGTGGGATCTCGGCAGTGGAACATAGCTGGTCACGTTTACTCTTTCTAAGTTACTCGTTTCGTCTGATTCCCCAAAGATCACCGATATCAAAGGCGCCCAGGCAAAAATGATTTGGGCCCTAACCACGGCACTGCTGCAGTGCAAATATGCACCTGCGAGGGAACTGCGTCTTCAGAGCTCATTTGCGCTGCCGCTTGGAGCTTTAGTTATGTACCACCGCCCCTTCCCCCCCCCCCCCCCTCCCCACCAATCACTTTCCATGTGAAAATCCGACGTGCTCAAATTTGTCCGGACCTCTAACTTGACATATCTACCATCGCTTAGCAGTAGTAACTGGCTGTTCAGGGAAAGAAACCCAAAAGAATGGGACGAAAAGGTGATTTTCCAGAAGAAGCTAGTACTAAAAGAAAGGTATGCAAGTAGTGTTTCATAGCGAACTGATCTACGTCTTCTACTGTTTCTATAGTAAATTGCAGGGCGCCCTTGACAATAAAGAGGATGTAACACAAAATGAGAAGGCTAAGAAAAAAATGGGAGGGACAGGAAGTCTCAAAGGACATGCTAAAGCCAGAGGCGCCGCACTAAATCCAGAAGTTGAAAAAGCTGTGGATAAATTTGTAAAGCACGCTACAGAATCTGGTTTGTGTCGTAACTCATAAGGAATCTCAAAATTAAAATTTTTTTGAATTTTTTGAACAGGTATCGAAGCACTCCGCGAAGAAAGTCGGATAGTATTAGAATTCCGACCACCGGCAGGTTCTTGCACAAAATTCTCGTCAATGCCGGAGAGGAATCGCTTCCCGGTAGAGTTGCAAGGATTTTTGAGAAAATCTCAAGGCGATCTAAAAAAAATATTACCTAGGAGATCCAGTGTCTTGATGAAACCCGAATAGTACTTGAAGAAACTGAACCATCTACTAATACATACATTCATGCAAATCGAGTTAAGCTAGAAAAGGTAAGACTAAATGAGAACCGACAAGGATCGAATGACTTCAATAATTTTGTTTAGTCTGATCGGACCTATATCCTAACACAAGGTCCTAAAGAAAACACTATAGAAGATTTCTGGCGCATGATTTTCCAAGTTTAGCAGCTCTGATTCAGGCTATTACTCATTAGTTCGAGATTTAGGAGCAGTGTGCCGGAGTAGTTATGCTGTGTAATTATTATGAGGATGGCATGCAAAAATGTGATGAATTTTTCCCAACAGAGAATGGTGGCTATAAGTACTATGGGAAGATGTTTGTTAATAATAAAAAAGTGAGAAATAAATTAATGTTTTTTTTTTGACCCAGTGGGAGACAGCTATGCAAAACTACAGTATGCTACCGTAACCCTAGGCGTCATGAATATGATTTGTATAGGCCATTTATCGCACGCAGAGGCGGGTGCTGCTGCGCCCGACTAAGACAGTTCGTGCTCGAAAGAGGGAGCAGGCAGTAAGAGCAACGAGAGTGCGTTCGGTCGAAGGGACGCCTACAGCGTCCGCAATGCCGCCCTGTCCTGTGTGCGTTGACTCGCCTACTCTGCGCCTACACTCTAGATGTGAAAATACTTAATTATTAGCCATTCTAACTACTGAGCTGCGTTATAGCAGCAAAAACTCATAGAAGTACGGTAGCATACAGTATACGTGTGCAAAAAGGCCTGCACCGAATTTGGACGAGTATCGGTAAATTATGCTGCTTCAGGTGGATCACCTTGATCAGCATGACATCTACACGCTAGAAATTTTGCCAGACGGGTGCTCGAACTCCATTCTTACACGCCTTGCGCATTGCACCACTTGGCCTGACAAAGCTGTGCCAGCTAGCGGTCGGATGGTACTACGATTACTGAAATGGATGCAGGCCCTAGAAGCAGTAATTTCCTTTCTGCTTGAATTTGACTTCTCTGGAATTCTCGTTCATCATTTAGATGGCTCCCGTCGCAGTAGTGAGCGGCGCTGGTGTTGGACGTGCGGGCACATTTTTAGCGATTGATCAAGTTTGTTGTCGATTATTCAAGGGATTCGACGTCTCGGTACTTTTGCTTATGCCTGGAATTTGACCAGAAATACCAAGAAGTCTATTCTTTTAGGTGAAGGATGTCGCACTTGAAATTAGAAAACAACGTGCCTATGCCATATCGAATGAATTACAGTATTTTTTCGTCTACTCAACTGTACTCGACTACATTAGGGTTAGCTCTTATGTTTATAAGAATGCTGAGCCCAGAGTTGCCTGTGCCATCGCTGTTCCAGTGCCGTACCGCGCCGCAGACTACTGTCGGCACCGCATATTGATCTAACCGCCGGCACAGCTGCGGCACGGTGCTGGTACGACGCTGGCACCACCGGTACAAGGCAACTCTGGACGCAGCCTAAAATGCAACTAAAAGTGTTATGGTTGATTTTTTAGGCGAAAATACCGAGATATCACAATGTTGTGTCAAAATTCTATAACGAACTGAGTCAGGCAATATAACATGCTATAGATACATACATTTAATTGAATAAAGATTGACAAGTTGAGCACTTCTACATATTAATCGTTACTAGAAATATTTGAAACTTCGATTATCATAGTATGTGGGCATAAATAGAGAGAGTTATGAGATTAAGTGCACTTGAAGAAGTCGAGAATTGAATCGAGCTGTATCACTTGTTTTGTGGGCATGTCGTAATCGGAAACCTGAAAAATTGATTCATGATTTCTTGCGAATAGCGCCAAGTGTAAAATTATATGCCCATAAGATTCACTTCAGTGGCTGGCATACAACAGCATGCAGTAGGCTACGTTTATCACTTGATGAGAGGCCCAAATTACGAATTCTCGCGAATCTACATTATATCTCTCTCTATTTCATGCACTGATCACGACATCCATTCTAATTGTCGGGATCTCATAGGAAGTTTATAGAACGGTGTAACCTTTTATTCAAATGGCTTGGCTTCGGGAAGGCGGAGCTTTGTGACCTGATTAAGGCCGCTCGCGCCCGCGACGCACCTGCATCTCTCTCGCGCGAGTGCTTTCTGATCATTACCTAGCCTTAGTTAGGTCACAAGCCCCGCCTTCTTGAAGCCAAGCCAGTTGAATCAAATGGTAAGTTATTCGCAAAATGAACTGAGGAAAAAAGCATTTGTGGTGATTTTCAAAACTCAAGTATTTTGATCGACAAGCCAGAAAACCCTCATTGAAACAAAGAAACCAAGGTTCCGTTCATTAGTTAGGAGTCTCCTATCAGAATTTTGATGGTTTTCCATTGTAGCAGCCAAGTCACACTCTATTTCAAGCCAACTCACACATTTTATTTTCCTACTAATTTCATCTGAATCATTTGACTCACCGTAGTCTCATCAAACATCCAGTAAGCATCTCCACTTCGCATATCTTTAGGAACACCTGAACGCAAGCCGTCGGGCAAATTTGGATAGAATCTGGTCTTGTCATTCAAGAATGACGGTGCATTCTCAAGCACATTATATGTTGCAAACGTATTTCCCTGGAAATTCAACACTTCAGCCGTTTAATATGAATGCATGTTCAATGTCGGTACCGATAGCAAAACCACGCTTCCATTTGTCAGTGGGAATGCAGCCTGTGGATAGAAGAGCACCAGCTCGTGCAACTCTCTAGGGAAGTCGGGTGCCTCCCTGAATGGATTGACATTTGATTACCAGACATACAGGACACATTTTAGACTGTAATTCACGTGAAGGTTACTCCATCGTATTCATAGCCGTAAATTGTTCGTTCTGTCAGAAGCAGAAGCAAGTTGCCCGACTTTACAGTTGCGTTTACGAACTCGGGGCCTTTGGGGAACACCTGGAAAGGAAAATAAGACACTGCAATGCGTGCGGTAGAGAAATCTGATTTTTCATGAGTTTCAGCCCCATCAATTTCGGGGAACGGTCAGGAGTCACGGTCGGCGCGAATTTTTCGCGAAGCGATGCCGCAAGCGATGTCAGCAAAACAGAAGCTAGCACTCCTGGCGCAGTCTTACTTATGGCACGAGCCATGTATCTGCCCCCACCCCCACCCCCCTAGACCGGCGCCGTGCCACTTTAGCTCCGGGCAGTTTTATGAGGTACAAAATTTAGACGCGACGTGCGCGGCGAAGCGGCGCGGCGCGCGGCGCGGCGCGCGGCGTGACTCCTGACATGGAGCCTCAATTTCTAGTCATTGCAAAAATGCGGGAGATTCAAACTTCTACCGTTTTTCTAGGGTAACTGATAGAGCGCATAGCGCGGCACACGTCAGCTCTAGTTCAAGCAGTCAAGTCACAACAATAAGAGATCTGCACACGAGGTCCCGGCGGTGCGGACGCGTAGCGACGCCCAAAATGGACACTGCGGTTGAGACAGACTATCAACCCACCCCCACCAGACTCAAACACAGCGCACTACAGCGTATCGTGTAAATGAATTTGCGCACACACGGTGAACGGGTAAGGGACTATGTGTCGCCGAAAGTGGGAGGTCCCGCCGGACATCTGCAACAAATGCACATTCCAATATACACAGGCTGAGCATCTGCTGCACTGTCTGCGCGGGACCCTCTGATTAGGAGAGTTTTGAGCATGCTGAATATAGAGTATCTCAAAAGCCTCTTCTATGCAATCCCCGCAGATTCCCCCCCCCCTTCCCCGTCGCGAGAATGCTTTGCGTAATTTTCGACAATGTTTACATGAGTTACAGAACTGTACAAGGGACTTCTAGGTACTTGTACTGCTTGCAACAAAGGCTGGCCCGAAAGGCAGCTGCGGGCATTTCGGCGACCCACCGATTCCTGTCTTTATTGCGCCTTACTGTCGCATCCAATTAACCCATTGACGACGATGTGGACCACCGGTGGCCTACGCGCTTTTTGCTGCCACGGACGATGTGTACCCCCGGTGGCCTACACCTCTCGCAAAGTCGTATTATTTGCCGGTCTAGTCTTTTTTCCACATATGAATATTTTTTCCAATTTTTTGTATTCTTAGGACCTATAGGCTCTGTCGTTCAAGAAAATATTAATAGTTGTTTACAAAACAATATTGCATTTCGTAAATAAGCACGAAACCTTCCCACACTGAAATTGTTGTGCAAAATCGCGTCGTCCCACAGCGCCGCCGCGCAAAATTAGGCGTCGTCGTCAATGGGTTAAACAAGAATAAGGGCTCCAATGTTTGAAACGGTCGAAAAGATAATTTCGCACGCTCCATGGGGAAGCCTCTGATGACACTGATTGGAATAAGAGAGTAGATATCAAATTTGATAGTGTCAAGAGTGTGAAGTTGCTTGGTGGTCCCGATCAGAATATGCATACTACGTGGCTGTTTAGTGGGCGGAGGAGGACCCGCGATGAGCGAAGGACTCTTTCGGATCGATTATGTCGCTCTTCATGTCAAAACATAACATCGCGCTTGGGTGGTGGCTTGATTGCGAGGGCTGCTGCGGTGCTGCGCGACAAGTTCAACTTCCCCACTTTCGCCCAGACGATGTTTTCAAAGACAGCAGCCAACAAGCTGTTGCAACTTTGTTGCATGCCAGCATGTTAGCCATGCGCTCCGCGGTTCACAGACGCAGAGCAGGGGCAGCACAAACCGAAAACTGGGCAAATCTGGTATTACGATCATCAGTAGCGCGAACACTGTCAACCAGCACCATCCAGAGGAGGCTAAAAGAAGGTGAGAAGAAACGTGTTTTGTTGATTGTTTATTAAACATCGCTTTTGGGGCCGCATGCATTAACATCCCCGATGGGGAGGGGACTGCAGCTCAAAAGAAAGCTTCATATTGTGAAGCTCCAGATATCTGGATTTCACGCTGTCTATCTACCTGTCCGTATGTATTCCTACTATCCTTCACTATGAACATGTTGAACAGGAGCGAGAAGCTGTACGACCCGCATTTTCCAGCTTTGTATAGGCGCCGTAAAACCTAATTGCCCGCGCCGTGCCTTGAACACCAGCGTAAGCGAGCGGTCGTCGCGAACGACTGTAGGCGTTCACCGAATTCCAAGAAATCTTCCTTCAACTCTCATGTTGTCCTTGTCAATGCAAGGCATATCTTGACGAAAGTTCCCTTCAAAAGTTTGAAAAAATATGTGTGAAAAGGGTGCGCGCTCATTGTCGCTCGCAAAAAGCCTGTAGCGCTTCGCGACCAGACATATCCAGTCGCGCCGCGTGTTGGTGTCAAAAGCGACGCGTGGGCAATTGGATTTTACGGGGCGTGTATGATCCCTGATGATTCCCGGCGCTTTTTTTTAAAGTCATTTTTTTTCTCCGAAGTTGGCGAAAACCTTCCAGAGTTGTACTGAACATCTAACACCACAGTGCTGAGCATGTTGCTGATGAGAACAAATGAATTTCTGAAAAATCGAAGTTTTCGGTAAACCCCAAATTTCGACCTGTGGATCATCGCAAATTCATGACTTCAAAACATCATTTGTTCTTATCAGCAACATGCTTAGCACTGTTGGGTTAGATAATCTGCACAGCTTTGGAAGTTTTTCATTAACTTCGGAGAAAGAAAAATGACTTTAAAGATAAGCGCTGGGGATCATCAGGGATCATACAAAAGCTGGAAAATGCAGTTTGTACAGCTGCTCGCTCCTGTTCAACATGTTCATAGTAAAGGATAGTAGGAATACTTACGGATACGTACACAAAGTGAAATCCAGGTATCTGGAGTTTCAAAATATGAAGCTTTCTTTTAAGCTGCGATCCCCTCCCCGCGGCGATGTTAGTGCATGCGGCCCTTACATACCCTCGTATCATTCCATATGTCTTCCCTCAACATAACGTGGATTACGTGGCTTGATGAGGCGCCGCCTCGCCTTGGGCTTGCGCCACGTTGCGTGCGCATTTTCGGCGTGATGTGGCAACAAGAAGAACGTGGAAAAGCCTGCGCCACGTTGTGTTGAGCGCCACGTCGCGCCAAATGATGCGCTCGCAACGTGGCGCGAGCCCGAGGCGAGGCGGCGCCTCATCAAGCCACGTAATCCACGTCATGTTGAGGGAAGACATATGGGATGATATCGAGGGTATATCCATCGTGCCGTTTTGCCCCCCCCCCCTCTTTTCCCTTTTTACAGCAAGATATCTGATTCCCACTCAGTGCTCATGTTTCTAAAATCGAAAGCACACTCACATCCTGTATTTTCTTTCCAGTGTCAACGAACTTTCTATTGTTGATCTTGTAGACTTTATCTTCGAGGAAAAGCAGCCATTCATCTCTGGTCACTAAAAAGATTATGGTATAGCTTATCATTTCAGAGACCTACAAAAAGGAAATTTGGAGGGCACCGAACATGAACGATAGCTAGTGTCAGCCAAATGCGTTGCGTGGGTCAAATATATTTCAAGTTCCATATCCAACTATGATGATATTTAGAAATTTGGAAAATCGCTGGGAGCTCGGCATGTCCTGATTCTCACTGTTCGACACCATTTGTAATTCAGTGAAGAACATGTCGCCCAAAAAAGAACACTTTATGCGCGGCATATTGACAACCGCAGAGTCAGTATGCTATTTCCAGCTATCGTTCATCTTGGCATTCACAGACTGGGCGCTGTTGCGTCCAACCAAGACAGTTCGTATATGGGAGAGACAACAGACGGCAAAAGAGATGAATGAGCGCTCGACCAACGAGACGCCGACAGCGTCCGTAGTGACGTCCTGTTTTGTGTGCGTTAAATCGCCTATACATATTCAGTTGGATACGACTCGAAAGTGAGAGAAAATTTGAGGTCATTCTTGCCTTTTTCTCCCACCCGTTCCATATTTAGTCGTCTGTTTGTATTTCAATTTTGAGGTGGTGCATCGTTTACGATGTATTTGATAAATAAATAAATAAAATACACATTCAAAGGTTCGATTCGGTATGGAGCTTCTAGGTGATTTTTGACTATGGGGTAAAGTGTAATTTGGAAACTCAACGACTGATCAAAGCCAATTTAGAATAAACTCACGCTGGACTACGGAATCGAGCTGTCGTGGACATTTGCTGGTTGCTGCGAAAGTACCTTCTTTCTTCTCACTCACGTCTGCAAGACCTGTAGAGTCCCGATATCATATTCCATCCTTACATCATCAGTGAACCGGAGCAGTTTTGCAAATTTTGCAAATCGGTAGGTTTTTATTGATTTTCTTGTCAGTTTTCTCTGTTTTTTAACAGTTTTCTCTTGATTTTTTCAAAAAAAGACGAAGTGCGCTATCAAAGCTATCTCTTGTTTACACATTCGTTCAAATTTAGAAACGTATGCGTCAACTTGGTCAAAGTTGGAGGAAGATCTATGATGCTATTTGATGGAGCACGCTGTAATCATGAGTGAGATTTCTGGAGAGGCAGCTGGTTTACCTGGGATTAGTGAGGTGGGTGGATGCAACTAACAAGCTATAACTTTCTTATTTGGTGCATATTGAAATTTAATCGAAATAGACAATTGATCTTCTAATGTGCTACCCTATGTTATCACATTTTGGTCAATTTTACGTAACGTTCTTCGCTTTACACTTTTGTTAATACTGTGGTTATCTCTAGGTAGGATTGACCTTACCTGCTATATCCGTAATATTAGCACTGATTGAAGGAAGAAATAGCAAGTGCAGTAGCATAGCCTTGTCAGTTATGCGTAGAGAATGAATTGCTGGCTGAACGCGAAATTCTAAGCGAACTCTAGGGAATGAGCGAAAGATTGCTGGTGGCTGCGTGGGCGCTATTTGACAGCCCGATGTACATCAACTCAAGCCAATTTTCTGGCAATTAGCCCGTTTACATCTAGTTTATGAATGAAAGGCTCCATTGAGAGTTCTTTGTAAAGGTTACTGACTTCAAACCTCACTTGCAGAGTGAGGAAGCTGCATTATGTGGCACGGCTAGATGCATGAGCATTGAGAGTCGTAAAAAAGAACTCTTTTCGCGCATATACCATTCTTTTGCCCGATAAGTGGGACCTTCCTGACAGTCTTGGCATCAAACTGTGTTGTAAAATAAGTACTCAGAATATAGCGAACGCTACCGTAAGTGTTGTTTTTCCTCATTACCATTGTAAAGCAACTTGCCGTAGAGTTTTCTCAGTGTTAGTTTGTCAACATTAGGAACTCCATCCAATGTTCCATAGGGAACCAAGGCTGGTTTCAGCATCGGGAACATTATCGAGCTAAAATATGTGAATTCTTTTTGACCACTGATGTCAACAATCAAGATCTACCCGCGGAAGAAATTGTGATGTAGTCCAAGTGTGTGACCAATCTCGTGAAGTAGTGTATGGAAAAGCGAAATTCCTCTCTAGAATGGCAGATCATTCGAGAATGTTATAGCTCCTCATTCTGTAAGATTTACCGGGACATGGTTTCTATAACCCCAGATGCGACTCTTATCCAAGATTATCTGACTGTTACCAGGACGGCTGCCGACTGCTGCCACTGAAAGTGCTAGTTTGTCGATGTCATTGGTTTGAGTTACTTTTTTCAAATTTCCGTTTCCCACATTTTTGCTGCCGCTTACCATTCATTAGAGATACTGGAAGATCTTCGAAGCTTATCACAATATCAGCTTTTTTCGGGTCATTCGTTTCCGTAAAGTCGATGCCTGCTACTTGTCGCCATTTTTCGAATGCCTCATCGCAGGCTTCCCTAGAGAAAAGGTGCATGTAAGTGATAACCTTGCTTACTCGTACCAATCAAACAAATTTTCTTGAGTTTTCCGTTGGGTTCTCTAGGGCAGTAATTCCTATATAGGAGTTCTTAGATTTCTTTCTCATTGTTGAAATGAGAAAAAAATCTAAGAACTGAGAACAGTTGTTGAAGTTCATGAATCCGGCAGTTGGGGAATACTGCAATGAGATCTATCTGTTGGCATATCTATCACCCTCCGAGAGGGGATATTTTTTGTCATGGATTTCGGTTCAAATACTGCTCATAACTAACAGATCTTTCAGCTGTTTGGCCGAATATCAAAAACAATTGGGATTGAATAGAGTCACTCTGGTATTGTGATTATCGCAAATTTCTAAGGTCACCCTTGTCCGACGTACTTTGATTTTTTTGGAAAGTTATTTTGAGTCCTAGGCTCGGTTTGGGTACAAGCTAATGATTCACGTCAAAATCCAGAAGTTTCGTTTATTTTTAGTAATATTTACAGTAAACAGCGCCTATTCATTCAACTCCTTTAACACCAAGTGGTTACCCCGAAAATGGGGATAGGAAAGTAGAGATCTGGCATAAGTGCCCTCGGCGCCAACGTTTGCCCGCAACATCTTCGCGTGAACAAATTGATGCAGTCGTAATGCCAAGTTTAGCATCCCTTGACAATTTGTTCAGCGGAAATGTTTTGGAGATGTTGGCAGTACGCAGTTAGGTAGGTGCCAGAGTAAGCGAATATTTTGTTCAGGTTGGGGTCCCGCGCAGAATTGACGTCACTTGGATTGACGCCAGCATAGTGAGTGACGTCTAATCTGCGCGGGACCCCAACCTGAACAAAATATTCGCTTACTCTGGCACCTACCTTAGTGCGGAGTTTCATAAAACTGCAGCTAATCTGATGCCTTTGTTACCTTGTCTGCGCTTCTTTAAGCGACGTTGGGAACGAGCTGATATGCCAGGTGATCACCTTTTTGTCCCAGAGTTGATCTTTGGGTAGATCTGAAAGAATTTCAGATTAAGATGCAGTGTGATTGTTTTTGTAGTATCACCTTGCAAATCTTCGCCTCCGCTCATATCCTTATTGCCGCATCTATATTCATTCATTTTTGAAATAGTAGGGACGTCTACGATACCCGAACGATAAATTAGGAATGCTTTTTGGAAACGCCTAAAAAACTTGGAATTACTTGCAAAAAGTTTTGTTGTTCCTATTTGTCGTTGCTTTGTCAACTTACTGCAGAGCCGTCTGAAGATCATATTTGCTTGGCTCTACCGTATTAGCTTTGCCTTCAGCTGCTTTGTCCACTTTAGGCATAGACATGTAGCCGTAGAGACTAAGGTATTGCTGAAAAGGTGGGAATAAGCTGCTGGCATAAAGCATCTAAATATTCACCTTCGCATCATTTTCCACCAACTCCTTCAGTTTTGGACTGTTTAAATCGCCACTTGTGCCTGGTGCTCCCCCTTGTGTAGAGTATACTAGTGACAGCAGTAACAAGAAAATGAGAGTCATCTAAAATCTGCTAGCGTAACGGTCATTCAGTCGTTATAATCATTAGACTGCACCAAACGTGTCCCCGAACCTTGAAATTGTGATTTTCCCTTTGATGTATCTGCTTGGAAAGATATTCTGGAGGTAGGCAACCTTGCTTCTTGCAAAGAAAATTTAATGGCTTTTTCTAAGGCAAGTTGCGGAGATAGTAGCGGAAGAAAATCACTCTAGCTTTGGTCATCAAGGACACGTGACAAATGTTCGTTCTTGTTAATAGGAACATTAACTTTTCTAAGGGAATCAATATTGTGTTTGTATTGAGTTGTTCATAGTTGATGCATGTTATTATTCTTGCGGCAGAAAACATATAATTTAGAATAGGAAGAAAATCTAAAATCTTTTAAATTCCGAAAAATCGAATCTATGTGTAGAAAAATCCTAAAAATCTTCGACCTGCTCACGAAAATTACTCAACGCATCAGCTATGCATATATACAGGGTGCGCCAAAATTATTTGCGCCAAAATATTCAAAGTAATGCCACAACAACGGAAATGAGCAATTTGGTCTGGTTGCAATGTTACAGAATGCGTAAGCATACTCTACAAAAAGCACTATCAAGATCCCAAGTCGGTCTTTATCCAGAGAAGTAAGAATTGCAAAAAGTTATGTTCGTGACGGAAAAAACGCAAGCTGACGCAAATTATCAATTAGTCAAAATTTTTGTTTTGAATGCTCCTAAAGATTCCAAACCTCAGTGATCTTAAAGTCTAAGACTAGCTCTATTATACAGCGAAATCTTTACCTGAGAGAAGCGGTCACCAAAAAGATACATGCTGGGCAAATTTGTGAGCCTCTACCCGCGTGCAGCACGCGACAAAGCCAAAGAAATATTATGAATTTTTACCGAAAAGCAAAACAGGAAATTTCTCATTTTTCAACTGAGCTGCAATATTATTGAACCAAGAAAGCAATATCAAGCTTGACCGCTGGCTGAGCCGGTCTTATATTCGTATGGCGCTTGATGATACACGCGCAATTGTGGCGCACCTTGTATACTTGCTGTATTTCTTTCATGGCTAGAAGTTGAGATAATAAAACTCGGCATATAAGCAAATCAACGCTGTTTTCCGGACGTGTTAGATAAATCCATACTACAACCTTTTAGAAGTATGACAAAAATTCTCAGCTTTCTCGAGACGTTAGTTGGCGAGAAATCCGATCTAACATAAAAATCTCGAAAAAGGCGATATTTCAAATTTTTGGCTTAATTTTTATGTCAATTTCCAGTTGCAAAAAAAGCACGATAAGTGTACATATGAATCTCTATGTGCTTGACCAAGTTGGGAGTTCACAGGACTAGATGGGAATTTGATTTTTGGGTGCTCAATATTTTCTGGATTTTCTCCTCAATTTTAGGCAGACCGAAGTTTTTGCAATTGTTCAGCAAGTCTTGTAGAGCTTGCTTTTTTCTGTTCTACAGAGTAATGTATTTCAGACACTTTTACATCTCCTCTGCCGCTTCAGAATAAGCAAATGCATCAATTTTGCATCAACGTAATATATTTGACATGCCTGTCTTAAAAAGCTATCTAACGCCCTGAGGAGGAGTAGTCTAATTATGCGCTAGATTTACTGTTTCATCGAGTCTACTTTTGAGGTTTTGACTAGACTTTTGGTTAAAAGGACCAATTTCTGCGGATTTGGCTAGAAGTATATAGTTGAAACTTCCATGGCTGCAGGACATACAAGCTTGAGACGCTTTGTTATGGATAAAAATCATCTACAGAACATTATTGCAGAATCTTTGCTTCGTTACACTTCAACACCTAATTGTGAGACCAATGATCCAACAATTCCCGATTCAAGCTTCGCCCAAGTTTTCTCTTTTCATTTCTCTAATGGTAAGTACAGTGGTTGAGGTTTGCAATACTTTGTACTGAATGTGTAATGTTGAAATAATTGCATCATTTTTCCCAACGAGAACGCAGCTGTAGACGTCACATAGAAACCGGTTCTCGTGCGGTGGATATTGGAGATATTAGAGTACATACCATAGCAAAAAACTGGGTGATCAGGTTGATGGAGTTGTGCTATAGTATTAGTACAAGGTCTGGGAAATCATCGTGGTCGCATATAATTTTGGAAGAACTTTCATTCTAGTCTAGAGTATTTACTGGTATGGTTACACTTGGAGAAAACTCAATTTTGAGGACAAATAAATAAATTTGTAGGAGTCATTCCGCTACACATCTTTGAACTATAAGGGCTCTTAAGAATCACGGAACAGCTACAATACTGTAATTGAGGGAATGGCTTCTATTGGTCTAAGTTTTTTGAGCGATTATTCTCTGCGCCTAGGTATATTTTCCGCCTATTCTGCAGGGGAGTAATCAACTCACAGTATGATACTATTCTGAGATTCCATGCAAGTTGCTCAAGTTAGTTTTTGGTGTTCCAGATATTTATGTACTCGCGCTTTTTCTTCTTCAAGATGTGGTGAACGTAAGAAATGAGAGGAATAGGAAACGTTTGGCATGAAAGTGCACGATTGCCTTGCGATTTTTGTGGTCATTGCAAATTTGTGACAACACTTCAGAACAAGATTTGGTAGGCTCTAGAGAAATGGTACTGCCAGGCATGAAGGTACATCCAGATGGCGGATGACTTTCCTTCGATAGGTTGCCTTCGATAGCAGGCATTGGGTACATCAAACGCAAGCTTACCAAGTTCTGAACTAGGATGAACAAAAAGCTCGATCTGTATTCCCTCTCTTGTAAGAAATATCTGCTTATCTTCTATTATATGGCGTCTGGACAAAGTCGGGGGATTCTGTTTCGGTGCCATGCCATAATGGGGCCGCGCAAGTGAGAGGCCATAACGTTTGACCAGAAACAAAATACTATCGGAAAGCTAAGAAACTAACGCCCTAAAGGCGGACCTCTCCACCTGAGGATTTCCTGCTCTGCGGCAGAATACGCAAACCACCGCAATTTAGGTCGTAGAGTCCCGCAGCGACTCTTCGTCTCAGACTTCCCGGGGGCTTTTCCGCTCGTCCAAATTCAGTTTGTAAGGCTTTGGGAAACACATGCACTCGCCATTTGCGCTCTCCAATATGGATCTTCGAATTCAGCGTGCGGATAACCCCAGATAAGTAAATTTGCTTGAAATTGAGTTTTTATTCGGACACTGCTTTCAAGAGCTTTACAAAGAGGACCGAAAAAGTCGTCTACTCTATTCTTTAGACGAGGCTCGAGTGACGTTTTGATAAGCCTATAGAACAGTGAAAAATGAAGTGGCAGGAAAGCGCACGCAACAAAATGGGATGCATTAACGAATGATATGTCACTTAAATGTTGGGTTTTTGAAGAAAACCTGGTCATGGATGGAAACGTAATAATTAACAGCCTAATAATGTTTGTGAAAAGTCACGAAGTACTGCTAATTTGTGGTCTTGTGCCTTGCCAATTTTCTACAGCGCGACAAAAGTAGTTCTCGTTCTCAAGGCTTCGTACTATGTAGTTGCGATAATGGACTTGTAAAAAAAACTTGCTCTCGACATCTCTCGACACTACAAAATTTTACGACTTCGTATTGAGCGTGTAATGGAGACAAACATGTGCGATAGATAATGATCTTGTCGATAAAGATGGCTGGATATTGAAAGCATATAAAAATAAACAAGTGATGTTGGAAACAATGCCAGGGATTCTCCTCTGCGTTTGCCTTGGGATACTTTGCATGCAGATCGTAGCATCTTGTGCTAAAACCCTTATTTTTTCCCTTATCTTTCAATGCATTTCTATTATTATTCTTCCAACAGGTGCTTTGAATAGAGTTGCGCCGTCCTCTTCCAATGTGCCAGCAATCTTACAAATATTAGGTCAGTACAAGTTTTTTTTCGTTTTTTGGACCAACCTCGAATTCTATAGAGTGAAAATCAACGAACGTTTCAAGCAGTTTTTGATGCAGGGTTTTTTTTCTTTCCAGCAGTTATCAATACAACTTATGCGATGGATACGGAGATAATCGCCAAAGATTACAAATCTCCATTTTTAACATGCCTATCTTACGCTGATTTTTTAAAGTTCTATTTTTACTCTTGAAGATGCTCCGACAGCCATCTGATAGCGCAAAACTTTTGCAAATCAATGCAACTGTATTTCTTCAGAGTGCTTTTTACATTAATGAATTAATTTTCACCGTTTTGAAAAATCGCATAGCGTATAATTGCAGCATTCGTCAGGAGATCGAGGTTTCAAAACTCAACTGTCATCATCTCAAACTTCAGAAAGTAAAAGAGCGATTACCGCTTCAATGTATTTAAATTTTGAAACTTGGGGTATAGAGCGCAGCCGTGAAATGGAGAAATACGGCGTTTTTGTCTGCAAAAGTCGCATATATCGCAACAGATGACTGTTAGAAAAAAAAAGGATTCATCGAATGATAATAAATTTTTTAACATTCTGCGTTTAGCGAGATTAAACTAGAATGAGTATGGAATTCGGTCAGTTCAGAATATATTTCTTGGTAGTTCTAAAAAACATGCTAAAGAGATATAAAAAATTGCGTTGATTTGCAAAGGATTGCTCTATTACCTATCTACCAAAGCACCTTTGAAAGTCTCAGATGAAAATTCCGAAAATTAGCGTGAGGTGGTAAAAATGGTAAAAATGAACGGTGATTTTTGATATTTTTGATTTTGGTAATTTTCGGTGATTTTCTCAGCGCTCGTTGACACAGTTGCAACAAGAACGTGTCTGATGGAAAGAAAAAAAGGTCTGCATAGAATAGTGCTCAAATTATTTGTTTATCTTCTCCTATGGGATTTGCAGATTGGTGCAATAATGGAAAAAAGTTTTTGCACCGACCTAATGTATGGAATTTTGTGGTTTTTTGGGAAAGACTTCTAAAATAAGGATCTACGACATTTTCCCTCTCACCAAAATGGTGGCAGGCAGTCAGTAAAGCTTTACTTTTTCAGAGAAATACACAATAAGACTTCCAGGAATTTTGATAAATAAATGATTCATCCAAGTGACCTTATTCAACATGTGAATGCGCTGAGTTCTGAGTGAGTGGTGGCCTTCATTGAGTTTTTTTTTACTAACGATGAGAGAAACGGGTTTAGACGAAAGGACGAGATTGTAGCACGCGACGTGAAATAGTGCAGAAATTGAGAACAATGACGGTACATCCTATAAGACTCACTAGTCCTTTCGTGATTGTGAAAAAGAAATTCGACCAGGTTCCGCCCTTATTTCGCGAACAAGTTATCATCAATGATTCGAGCATTGCTATTATTTTATGAGTTAGAAGGTGAAATTTTCAGATGATAGTTTGATTCTTTAGGGGCTACAGCTAATTTGTTGATGAGCGAAGGAGACAGTGAATGTGAAGTACACTAACGGGAAATATGTGAGACTAAAGATTGTGCGGATAAAAACGAAAAATCCTTCGATGGGAATGCTATCAGCATTGATTTTTACACTGGGACAGAAATGAGATTCGCGAAATGGCAGGTGTTTATTGCAGAAACATGAGAGGTTTTTCTCTAGAACTTGAGTAATTGAAAACCGGAATGCGAACCTGCAAACAACAAAGTGCGAGTTTGGAGGGATGTTCCTAATGAATTATCATGAGCGCAAAGAAAGACATGATATTTAGCATATTTTAGGATAAACTGGACATGCTATCTTATTTGTACACGAAAATCTCGCACTGTCTTCTTTAGACTGCGCTAGTTTGTCGAATTTGGTTCAGATGTGTGATCAGCGCAAGTGAATCATTCACCCGCACGACTGGCCTTCTTCATGGCTCGCTGGTTTTTGCGCGGTTTTCGCTCGAAGAACTAATACTTCGACTGTATCCGGCTTTGAGAACTTGTTGAATTTCGAAGTTATTCTGGGCATAATCCTTCACAATCACAGTCAATCATGCGCGCGCTGTTGAACGCAGTGTACGCGTTCGGCGAATTCTGGGATGCGTTACGGTAGCTAGCTCTTCAAAAATAAATATTGTTGATTCGTTGACCGCACGGACTAGTCAAACGCTTGGACCACGCGCGGCGCGGCTAAAATGTTGCGAGAGCACGATTTGTACAGTGGCGAATTTGTATGGGGGCAGGCGTTTTACCTCGCGGCGCGTGCTCCGTAGTGATGTCCAGTCCGTGCAGTCAACGAATGAACTATAAGTTATTCGATATTGCAAGCGACAACATCGACGCTGTATTCGTATGACAATTCACGGGAACCTCCTAAAGACAAGTCATTTTGGCAAACTTCCCGAAGAACTCATTTAGTACAAAGGTGAATGGAAGCACAAATGGTAATTCTCCGAGAATTTTTGCCAAGAGCAACGCAGTTAGGACCTTCCCGGGGATATCCTCGGCAATTCTCACATACGCGAAACTTCCCCCAAAGATTTCAACAGAAGGGAATCTTTCAAGAGTTTCGCGGTATTTCGTTCTAGCGCTACGTTCACCCTAATGACAGAATTGCCAAAATCACAGAATCTTCATCAGACTTATATAATGGCCACTACGATATCTGATTTAGCGAAGATAGCTTACTTGTAGTGTTTCTTTTCTGTCGTCTTCTCATTTTATTCTGTAAATCAACTGACTTTCTTTTTTTTTTCATGTGGCATTATTCAAATGTATTTGCATCATTTCTCAAGCCGCGAAGGGTGAATTGCCTCTTGCTTAATACGCTCTTCGCAAATCATAATTGCCGTCTTCTGTCGCAAGGCGAGGTGTGAAGCAATGCTCCAGAACCAAAACAAACAAAGAGGTGATTCGGCTATCAAGTTCGCCTTAGTATATGTGCGAACATCTATTGTACGGCTCTTTACGAGTGCAGCTGTTATAACTCACCATGTATTAAGGAAGTGAGTCCTTTAACATTACATTCACTCATTACTTTTACATTTCTCCAAATCCTTTCTAAATGTGACTTTGTGCTGTTTTGTATGTAAGGAGGAAAACATTACTTTATGCAAGTCTTTTTCGGCGTCTGCAGATTCTCCCCCTGCTCTTTTCCAGGATTCAGAGTGCACTTGCGCTATTTTCGTAATATTGCTACTCTGTCAGTCTTTGTCAGTTTGTGAACTCTTTGCTTTAAGGCTAAACTTTCTAGAGCAAGTCAATGGTTTCAACGTAACCTGCATAATCAAAATTAGATCAACTGCTAATTTCAGAGTAAATAAATTTGCCATAAATAGTGAAAATTTAGCAATCCAAATTGTGTTAACAGGAGTGTTATTTCAGGTAGTCTTCAGGCCCTGGTTTCTAGTTGATTGCTTGCTTTTTCTGCTTCTCTCCCTTCTCCTTTCCAATGTGCATTTTTCGGTGCACGGGCATTCACCAAAATATAGTCGCGACCAATAAAGAGTTCTGAGTGGCTTCGACTTTGAGGGGAGCAGAAGTTGACTTTTAGGTGAGCATGATTGCCCGTTTACTAGACACTAGTCTTAATTCGACTCACTTCTATGAAATTAATTATTTCTCTTTTTTATTTAGCACTGCTTTTCTTACTGAAGCTTCAAGGGCAGGGTAGGGTCCGATAGGGTCCGTAGGGTTATAACCTCTCTGCAGTCTTTGCTTAGTAGGAAGCGTGACTGACTATATATCTAAACTTCCACCTAAGTCTGGGCCCACCGACATCCTCCCTCTACTTTATTTACCTACTCTTTGTATGATGAGATTTGACTGCTAACAAAAGATGGTCAGGAGTGGCAAGCTGCTTGTTATTGCATGCATCATAAAACACTGATAAAATCCTTTTTCTATATCTGCTGAAGGCCTTTGTAGAGAAGAAATAAAGAACTAATGCAGGTTTAATGCAAGAATACATAGGAATAAAAAATCGGACATAGTGATGCCTTTCCAGCTGAACGTTCAATATAAATCATATAACGTAATTTAGCCAACTTTGGCCCAGCTTACAGGGCGTCTCAAATATGCATGCACTGTTTGATCGTTAATATCTCTCTTCCCAAGAAGTCTCTTGCCTACCTCCAGGTACCAATTTGTAGAACTCTGTTCTACTAAGATTAAAGGTATGAAGCGACTTACCGATCGCTCTTCATTACCCTAGGATTACAGTAGGAACTTCTGGGGGTTTGAGTGGATAAGGGCCATATCTAGGGCCCTAAAAGAAAACCAGAGAAACTGAAAGGTTCTACATTGAGTTAATGTGAACATAAGACTCGTGCTTCAACTAAATCTTCTTGTATACGTTATGCCAGATATACGGTGAGGCGTTCGTTCGACTCCAAGAATTTAATTACACCCTTTGAAAAGCTTGAAAACTTGTAAATTGTCTTGTAATGAATTCAGTCTCCATGAAACCTCTGATCTTTTTTCTGAAATTTTCGCAAAGACGGCATATTCCACAGTGGCGCCACCAGCTGCTAGTTCTTTCCGCAATCCTACAGTAATAGGTAGATAGAGATCTGTGATTCTTTTCATACTGTAAATCTAAGCTGAAGCCAGCTCTACAAAACAATAAAAGGTGGGCAGAAGACTTCTTAAAAGGAGAGATTAACAACCAAGCAGTGTATACATGCTTTTGAGACACCCTATGTATGTCCAAATTGCAAAAGGATAAAGGATTCGGAGTGTTCAATGCTCTCTGCGGGCATGCGCCGAACGCACTCTACTTCACAGTCGAAGAAGCTACTTGATGCGTGCGGGCCTGTTACAGTGACTTGCAGGGGCCAGCCGATTACCAGTCAGTGTTTTATCCTCCCAAATTGATCTGATACAAATTTACCGTCCCCGGAGGGTAGAGGGCTTGGGTCTAAGGGCGAAGCCCGAACCTGGGTGCGATATGGTCATCGCGGTCCCTCATACCACTACCCACTCGTACCCCTTCTCTCCAAATTTCTCACCTTACATACCTGATTTCTTTGCAAACAATAGCACATAACTCCGTCCACAAAGGCGTTTAGCAGATTCTGGAGATGGGTTTGACATCACCTCGCAATGCGTCTAAAGGTGTGCAGCTTGTGCGCCACTTCGACTTTTGACCATTCTCTGGTAAACATACTGGAGAATGGTCATTCTCTGGTACTACAGACTGGAGGGAGTATGAAGTTTTGGTTTTTGGCGCTTCCTACTTGGCGATGATCTGTTCCATGGTGCGGAAGCGGAATACATTTTCAGTCATATAGATTCGTGATCTAGTTTTTTCTTCAAAGCAAGCTTTTTAGTAACTGAAAACTAGGGAAAGTTTTGAGTTTTGGCTGGAACGAGATAATCAGTTTCGCTTTCTTCCGCCGTGAAATCAAATTCATGTAAAAACGTTCAACTAACATAAACTTCGCTAATTTGGAAGGATCAATTTATAAGAACTGTGTCAGGTTTGAAGTGCAAGAGTTTTAGCGACTTACAAAAGAATTGAGACTTGAGAGGTCTTGTTCCATCGCTGAGAGGTTCTTTTTTGTTTTAAGAATTGCTCACAACTTGTAAGTTATGAGCCAGTAGTTCTTTGGCGAATGTGAAGCCTACAAAATCTTAATTATTGAAACCTATGTCGAGAATCAGATAAATACTGGAGTGCTAGTGAGCCAAATCTTACTGATGTCAACAGTACAGGACGAGTGAAGATTGGAGTTACGTGAATTTTGAAGTAACAGAGTGACACCCGATAGACCACACACTACAAATTGCGTCAATTTGTACTGTAGGGAGTTCGCACTAATTCACGAAGTTGCGCAAAAAAATTGCGAACTACAGCTTGTTTGGCTTCGGAACAGTTTCCAAATTCACTTCTGAGTACGACTTCATCTCATAAACAAGCTATGGAATTCATTAAGTCGGCACGCGGAAGTTCTATCTCCATTTTAGAAAATTTGTAATTTCTGATTTTCCCAACCGATTTGCTTGTTTTCATTCACGATCGAAAGAGTGAAGAGTAGAGAAGAATAAAGATTATGTCCTCTACAACAATGTTAACGGCTTTCTATCGAGCCATTGATAGGGACGGTAAAAGAAAATTACAAGTTTTGATTTTTCTCTGCTTGGTCGTAAAAATCAAAAGTAAGCCATCGATATTAGAGGGTTTGTTAGTTACTCTTTCAAAGTGAGCGAAGTTTGTGACGTTTCAACATCTTTGTGAAAACTTATGATTTTTGAGAGCAGTGCAAAGCAGCAAATTTGATTTCTTTGGCATTTTTTTTTTGAAAATCATGACTTTTCATAGGGACGTTCGACCAGCACAGACTTTCTTTAGTGGAGACCAGGTGTAATACCTATAATACTACTGCTCCGATTACTGTCACTTCCAGATTTCTCACGATCAAAAAGAGGAAAATCAAAATTTGAGTGACTTTTTTTCCGCTTCTCCCCATGCAAGGTGCGCTCAGCAGAAAGCCAACAAAAGACTTTCATAAAGAACACAATTTAGAATTTGAGAATCTTAGATTTTGCACTACTAATTTGGAGAAGGCGGTCGCACACTACCATCGGTGCGATAGCGGTAGAGCCACGGCATCTGAAGACGAGGATTGCTCGAAACGTTAGGCCGCTCTACTAATAAAACTTCGCCGAAACCTCGTGCTGGCACAACTAACAAATAGAACTACATCATTGTAATGCCGAGGTTCAAAGACAAGAGGACAATCAAGCTACAATTTACTCTTTTGATCGAATGTGAAGACATGCGAGTCGGCCCGAAATAATAGCAATTATGAATTTTTGAAAATGGTGCACAGAACTTTCGCGCCGACCTCATAGCTCTTATCTTCTATGTTTTGCGAATTATGCACGAGTTTAAGACGACGGATGATTACTGCATTGATGCTGAAAGCTGTGAGTGCGATCTTAATCAGGCTCGTTTGCGACCAGATGATATCGTAGAATGCAAATCAAATACTTTCAAGCATAAGTACAAAGAGATATAAATTTTGGAAAGATGTAGGAAAACATATTCACGAAAAGAGGGGGAACCCGTTCGCTTTAGCCTATCAGGCAGACAGGATTTGAGACGGAAAGTTTGTGGAAATGGGAGTGTTATTCACCTTTCTCGTCGAACAGCAATCATGGCGCACGAAGTATTGCGCTTTTTGAGAGGTTCTACTCAGATGTGTAATGGACTGAGTATTGTACGCGAAATTGAATTTCGAGCACCTGATACTTATTTTCTGGCAACTGCGTGTGTCTGTAATGAAGCGCTTTTCGATTACGTTCATATGATGTTTGTGCAAGAAAATTACTGGATTCTGACGCAACTTTGCTACGACATTCGTGCATCGTACTTCAATGATCAAATTTTCCATTTGGAACTGGGACTTAAATTCAACGAAATAGTGTGGTATAGATTCTCACTTTTTGAGTTGCTATTTTGAGTCCTTCTTAGTTCATGAGTCATTGAGTTCAAAAACGTGTGATGGAGTATTCTTGTTGTTTTGTTCTAATATTTGGAAAACACCTCATTTGACTTTTGCAATAGTATGTTATGATTAGAAAGAGGCAGAATTCGTCGCAGCATTTCCTCGCTCTCAGATATTAGGTTGATGCAAGAGTTCAGCCGCATCATTCTTGGGAATCATAACTTCTTGCTTCCTCAGCGGATTTGCGCAGTTCATTTTGCTAGATAGAGGAAACCATTCTCTTTGTGAGATTGCTTATTGCCCTTTAATAAGGGTTAGCTTTTGAGATGAAACCAGGAGAATAAAATTTTTTCAACTTCATCATTTTGAGTTAGGCTGCTAAAAATCTGAAACTTGCGACAAAATTCCGAACAAGCAATATAGAAAGTCTTCTGATCCACAGTTTTCAACAGTGCAGAGTTTGTGTCAAATGACCATTTCTGTGAAAGTTATGAAAGAAATGCCAAAAAAATTAAATTTGCCGTTTTGTATTGCTTACAATCATAACTCTTCACAGAGATGCTCTTTTAATACGAATCGGCACTATTGGAAACCGTGGATCAAAAGACTTCTATGCTGCTTACTGGAATTTTATCGCAAGTTTTAGATTTTCAACAGCCTAACACAAATCGAGGAAGTTGAAGTAAATTTATTTTCTTGCTTCTAACTCAAAAGTACCCCTTATTAGAGGGCAGCAAAATAACTATCACAAAGGGAAGGGTCTCCTCTACTTAGCAAAATTAAGTATGTGCAAACGTTAAGAGAGCAAAAAGTTATATTTTTCAAAATGAAAACAGAACGTTTGCATCGACCTAATAGCAATCAAATGGACACAGTCAGCAATACGGTCCTGCGGTACAGTCCAGACATTTTCGCTTATTTGGCCTTAACAGTGCATCGGGATTTGCTCATTTATACCCAGCATTGGCGGACGGAGGGGTTAAAAAATGTGCAAGCACACTTTTTCGGATTTTTTGGGGTCATTGACCCACAAAAATTTTGGAACGCATCCTAAAGAAGTTCTGGAGTGCGTGTTTAGTGTTACGCACCTTAATTTGAAAGAAACTTTTTGACCATACCCTCCCTACCGGGGACGGAAATTCTGGGACCTTCACTGCGGCCAGGTATAGGCGTTTTCCGTGCGTATAGCGGGCGTGACCCTGCAGACATTTGAACACGTTGAAAATCTTGTTGAACCCCCCACTTTAGAGCCTTGATTTTTGTAATCTCTAGCTATCAAAAACTGCCACGCGCATACGTTGGCAAACGTCGGCAAAGCTCCGCCCGCTATACCGTGGGGAATAGACGATACATATCGTATACTATACCCTCTCTGTATTTAGTCTGGTAACCTTCACTCTAAGTGATACAAGAAAGCACAACCTTCGCCTGTATAAAAGAATAGTAGAACATTCGGGAAGAAGCCGCGGACATTTAGCTCGGAACCATATCAAAGTAATTGGGTAGTGCGACTTCCAGTCAATCTCGGCAATAGTAATACTTTTTAATATATAAAGAGTCGTAAGCGCAATCCAAAAATGTGCAAATAGCGGGAAACCGCGTGGCGGTCTCAAAGCGAACGCTCTTCCAAATAGCACCTTTAGATTACTGGTTCACTAGTTTATGGCTCAAAAAGAAACAACAAAGCATATTTAAATAATTGTGGATGAAGTGAATGGACTCATTAACAACTTGGTAAAATTCCAGCGCATTGAAAAAACTTTTCATAGCCTTTTCTTATGCTAAGAAATTTTCTTTAAATTCCTCTGAAAACGGTAACAATATTCAGGTGACCTTTTATGCACTATGAATGATCAAAATCCGGGAACGGAGCTGCATAAAAGCCAAAAAGTTTGCTCAAGTTCTGACCAAAAAGTTACAAACGAAGTTTCTGCTTCCTCTCATTATAGAGGGTTTTCAGCCTCTCAGCCTCGGGACTTGCCAAGGTATCCTCTCATGACGATAAGAATGATATATATTTGCAAGGTTTCTCTGAGTATTCGCGGGTCTCTGACCGGGGTCAAATGTCCGGTATACGATCTCATCTCAGACAGTCGATGGGATACCTCCGGGGAGCGGTCCAAATATGGCGCACCTCCGGAGGGCGCTCTTAAATTGAGGGGGTAGGGCGAGGGGCGGTCAACTCGTGATGACGTTACATAGGAGCCAAAAACGAGTCCACCGAAGAACTCGCAAATTTGTGCTCCTAAATTTGGGAGGCCCTCGGAGAGCTGGCGCCATAGGTGCGAAGGGTTGAGAAAAATCTCACCCCCCACTTCACTTTGGAGCCTGGGCTATCCCCCCCCTTCACTTTGGACGGAGGAAGAAAATTTTTTGAGGTGAGATGATAGTGTGCTTGAAGTGGAGTACAATTTAAGGTAAAAGAATTTATTTACAGAGTGTAGGGAATGAGAATGCGGGAAAGGAAGCAAAAATCGGGATCGGACCCCCCCCCCCCCCCACTGGGACGAAGCAGGTGCTAAGGTGAGTTAGTTAGATTAAAGTTGAGATATCGTAGCTGAAAAATCCAATTTTAGGCATTCCATGGGACGAGCATTGAGTGGTATTGAGTCGATGGCGCATGGTCGTGAAACGAATGACTGGAGTGGAGCCTACACGTGGGCTTGTTGGACGAGACTCTGAAAAAGACATTTTGTGGTTGTAATGTGGATATAAATAATAATTTGCCATCGTATTGTGTGTATAAGGATAAACAATAAATGGAAATGTTGTACACAACCGAATTTGTATATATTGAGTGAAGGTAGGAAAATAATCAGAATAGGAAAGGTGAGATATCGGAGTTTGATGATCAAAAGAGAGAGCTGCTGGAAATAAGTTCTATAACGGTAGAGGGAGAAGGTAAGTCAGGTATTAGGTACTCAGGTAAGCTTCCGATGTAAGCTGATCTGGAGAAGCAGGTTTGAGTTGTCAACTATACCCCCCTTCGAACCAAAAAATTTCCATATCTCGGTGGGGGGGGGGTCATCTCAGGAATCTGATTTCTTTTTTATTTTGTAAGGGAGAGTGTGCTTGAGATAACTAGGGCTGTCGCAAAAGAATCTGCTGAAGCAGAACTTCTGAAGCTTGAATTATACACACAAATTTATGCGTCTTCAACTCGGTGCTGTTGCTCTCCTTCCTTAAAGCAGATCCTTTTGCGACAGCCCTAGTTATATCAAGTGAACCTCCCTCTACAAGATGGTAAAAAAGTAGGTCACGATAGGACCTCCCCGCTGAGATATGAAGCGTCAAATTGAACCACCCAAAATCGATTTTTTTGCTATAACTCTTATGTAAATAAACAAAAGTAAACAAGGAGCTGGAATTACAATCTACTCTTCAAGAGCTTTCGAATGATATATAATATGTGGGGGTTCCTTGTTTTTTTCGCCCTGCGACAGGGGTTGAGACGATTCAGTTATGCGATCTCAGGTCTATCCCCCCTCCATATGCATTAAAGAGGGCGGAGCTGAGAAGCCATAACCAGGGTAAAGCGGGGGGTGCGGCACGCCGCAGGGGGTGGGGGTCGTAAGGGGGGGGGGGGGTAGGTAGGGGGGGTCGTATCGACCCAAGGTCAAAAGCGGTTTCTAAGGGGAAATGACTGCAGCTAAGTTCTTAGATGTGCCACGCCGTTGAAATCCTGCAAAATTCAAGTTCAACGACACAAACTTGCAGATACCGTATGCCTACCGTAACCTACCGTACCTCTAATCAAGCATAATTGTCGTAATCCGCGTGTCGAATAACCCCTATGCGCCAAGTTTCAGCGAACTTTGAGGTCTCCGAGCAGTAAACAACCTTGTATAAAGCAGTAATCCTAAAACATGATTAACTTCATCTTAACGGTGAGTAAGCTACCTCTTCTTGCACTCAATACAAAGCACTACTCCTTCTTTGTCCACCTCAGGAATCCCGCTTCAGAAGACCTCCAAACTATTGAATTAGAAGCCAACCAAAATCGCTATTAGCTTTTGATCGCTGTGCTTTCACCAAATATTACTCAGAGCTAAGAAGACGAATCAGGCTCAAGACATCCCTATGGAATCTATGAGGTTTAGGCTATTGATTCATATAAATATTGTCCGCTAAAAATGTTTTTTTGATATAGTTAATGGCCTGCGGCACCCCCCCCCCCTCAAAACCTGCGGCTGCCGCAGGTTTTGAGGGGGGGGGGGGGTGCCGCAGGCCATTAACTTACCTTCAAATCGTTCAAACAGCTGCCTTTTTCATATCATCCTATAGATTCATCCTTCCTCTCTCCGTAGTAGCTGTTTCCCCTCGAACCTTTTTCTTTAGAAGGAAATACATATGGTTTTTGCGAACCATATGCTGGGAAGTGTGGCCAAAAAATATTGGGTTACGGTAGCGCTCGAAAGATTGTCAAAACACACAGAGGCGCGAGATACGCGCCTTTGAATCCCACTCTCGTTATAAGCTGTGATGTTCTCGCTTTTTTTGTTCTTTTTCATCACTTGTTTCTCTCATTGTTTTTTCAGAAAACTTCAGCCAGATTTTTTTTTTCAGATTTTTATTGTTAATGCCATATTCAGGTGGTCGCGAACGATTTTGGCTAGCCTATTCCACTATCTGATATCCCCAGTTAAAAAAAGTAATTTTCGTGTTTAGACGTTTATATTTACTGTTGTTATTGTTATTTTTATTTGTGTGGCTGTCGACACTCGTTTGCGAATTCACCGAAGCTATCGTTTACGTGAAACTTTATTCGCTTCATCCACTACTTTCGCTGATCTTGTTTTTTGAAAAGATAAATACTTTGGTGCGATTTTATCATCTTTAGGTAGATAGGCATGAAACAATATTTATTTTTTAGGGGAAATTGACTACTATTACAACATGTCTGAGCTGCTACCCGAAGATTACTTTCGAACCTGGGATCGCCCGACAATCTTGTCTTTGTAACGGAATACATCGAGCATCTGAAAGACAAGTTGACGGTGAGTCAGGGTTATAAGGATTTGTGGTCACATTTGGCGCTGCTTTCATGATCAATGAGTTTCTGCTTATCAAATTTTGTTGTAGAGAAATGAATGTATATATTGTGAAAAAACCTTCGGAGATCGCAATGTTCTCATGGATCACATGCGTAAAAGAAATCATAGAGAGGTAAGCTTTCTTTTATCATTTCCTCTAGTCTTCCCTACCATAACATTTTTATCGCACTTTTGAACAAATTCGACGTTGCATTCGTTGCGTTCAGGTGAATCCTAAGAACCACTACTATGACAAGTTCTATATCATCAACTACCTCGAACTTGGGAAACGCTGGCTTGACGTTTTGGCAGAAGACTTTGAGGACACAATGCCGACGTTTCGAGGAGTACATTCAACTATCTTATGTTTTTCTTGATGGAGCTTGAAGTGAACTACGAGTATCGATATTTGCATTGTTGCATTGCCTTCTTTTTGTAGCAACTCATGGTGCGAGTGGCAGGAGGATAATATGGACGTAGATGAAACTCGTGTGGTTTGTCTTTTATGTAATGAAAGCGATGAGACTTGCGAAGGCCTTTCGTCGCACATGAAGGTAAGCCAGTGCTCATATCTACCATTCTGTCTACTATGTTTCTTCTTTTGTTTAATTCACTGAGTGAATCGTTTGTTACTTCAATTCTCTATCAACGCATATCTACCAGAGTTTTGGCGTTTCAAAAATAGATATTTTCGTAACCAATTTTGCAAGATTTTTGAGAGTTTATCCGACAGGTCTTCTAAAATCAGCTTTACCCTGTGTAGTGTAGGCATCAGCATTAAAATGTACGCAAATTAGCCGGTTTCTTGTTTTGAAGCAGCATCTCATACAAATATAATTTGATAAGTAGTCCAAGATTGTAAGTTCTCTCCGGCGGTTAAATCACAGCAAAACCTAGGCACATTTTTGGTCTACCCACTGGCTTGTGTTGGAATTCGATGTTTGTGGCACATTTGACCTCATATCATTGAAAACATCTTGATTTTATGACTGTGTGGACGTTTTTCGTGAATATCGGATTCAATTTAGGTAACCTTTCTGCGTCAATCATGGCTGATCAGGATGAGGCACATCTCAAGTCTAAGCCTAGCAAGCCATTTACATCGAACACAAGATCTCCTAAACTCATCCGATCTCTAAAGATCATTGTTGATAAATTGTTGTTAATAATATTGTTAATGAAACAAAAATATAAACTGAAACTGAAGTCAGTTCAAGCTAGCGAGGGAGGGAGGGGGGGGGGGGGAGGGAATGGGGAGGGGTCGTGCAGAGGGTATGGCCCAAGGGGGGGGGTCGTATCCGACGTTCGTGTGCCGCACCCCCCGCTTTACCCTGGCCATAACTGAATCGTCTCAAACCCTGTCGCAGGGCGGAAAAAACAAGGAACCCCCACATATTATATATCATTCGAAAGCTCTTGAAGAGTAGATTCTAATTCCAGCTCCTTGTTTACTTTTGTTTATTTACATAAGAGTTATAGCAAAAAAATCGATTTTGGGTGGTTCAACTTGAAGCTTCATATCTCAGCGGGGAGGTCCTCTCGTGATCTACTTTTTTCACCATCTTGTAGGGGGAGGTTCACGTGATATAACTAGGGCTGTTGCAAAAGCATCTGCTTTAAGGAAGGAGAGCAACAGCACCGAGTTGGACGCATGAATTTGTATGTAAAATTCAAGCTACAGAAGTTCTGCTTCAGCAGATTCTTTTGCGACAGCCCTAGTTATCTCAAGCACGCTCTCCCTTACAAAATAAAAAAGGAATCAGATTCCTGAGATGACCCCCCCCCCCCACCGAGATATGGAAATTTTTTGGTTCGAAGGGGGGTATAGTTGGCAACTCAAACCTGCTTCTCCAGATCAGCTTACATCGGAAGCTTACCTGAGTACCTAATACCTGACTTACCTTCTCCCTCTACCTTTATTGAACTTATTTCCAGCAGCTCTCTCTTTTGATCATCAAACTCCGATATCTTACCTTTCCTATTCTGATTATTTTCCTGCCTTCACTCAGTATATACAAATTCGATTGTGTACAACATTTCCATTTATTGTTTATCCTTATACACACAATACAATGGCAAATTATATATCCACATTACAACCACAAAATATCTTTTTCAGAGTCTCGTCCAACAAGCCCACGTAAAGGCTCCCTCCAGCCATTCGTTTCATGACCATGCGCCCTTCCATGCCGACTCATTACTGCTCGTCCCATGAAATTCCTGAAATTGGATTTTTCAGCTACGATATCTCAACTTTAAACTAACTAACTCACCTTAGCACCTGCTTCGTCCCAGTGAGGGGGGTCCGGTCCCGATTTTTGCTCTGTTTCCCGCATTATGGTACACGATAATGAAATGATATTTATCAAAAAAGTACTCGAAAACATTTTACTAACTATATTAAAATTTATACAAATGAATTTGGAAAATTCAAAATCAAAAAAAAAATTGGAAAATTGTTGAAATTGAAGTTTAAAAAAAATTAAAGTTGAAAAATTGAAAATTTATTTTTTTCAATTCCCCCCCCCCAGTCGACGTCGGCAATTTTTGGACCCCCTTCACTTTTGAGGGTCAAAAACTCCCGAGACCCCCTTCACTTTGGAGGGTACCCATCTCAGGCCTTCGCACCTATGGCTGGCGCGCAGCCAATCTGCCCAGTACCACTTGCTCGCATGCTAGTTAGCGATAGCGTCTCCTTGCTGATGTTAATTGGTTTTGGCTATGGTTCCTTTTTACTTGCTCCTCTTGGTTAGCCTTTATCATCCTCATCTTCTGTATTCCATTACATCTCTGTTGCTCAGCTCTCACAAAGTAACTTTCCAGTGTCTTCCACGTCTTCCACTAGCGTCGGTCTTTGCAAGCATCAACATCAACCCGTCTTTTAGCACTCTTTTATTATGTGCAATTGCACTCTTTAATCTTTTGACAAGCACCGTCCTTTGGACCCTATCAAGGTAAGTGCCTCTTTGGTTTGTACGTCTCTGAGTTCAACCGGCTAATTTGACTCACCCATCACCTACTTCAAAGACCAATAGTGGAAGGGGTGAACCGGATAAAAATCGGATAAGTCTGATACCGGCCTGAGGTACCAAAGTGATTTTGTTCGGAGCCACAGTTAGAAATGTAAAAGATTAGGGGCAGCAGGCTTTCTCGCCTTAGAGCAATTTTATGATGAGTAATTTGACACGACCGATTTCTTATATCTGAAATTTTTTTGTCTTAGCTCTTTTAGAAATTTTCAGTTCTTATTGTCAGTGATTTCCGAACATCTTAATTCTAACGATCGTTTCTGGCGCTTATTGGAACGCGATTGCTTGCAAGCTTTTATGAAGTCACTTGGTTGTGTGCTTCTGAGGCTGACAGAGGTATAGAGCATACCAGCCACCATCGGTCGTGGGTACCCAGGGGATGAGGCAGCGCGCGCGCTACGCGAGCGTAGAAGATTGCACTCGAGCGCGAAAAGTAGCCTTGTTCTTAGAGTCATGGCATTCATTCAACTCGTGTTTACCTTCTATTTTCTTGTTAGGCATCAGATTCCGCGCTTGTATCGATTACTAACCATTTGAGGTAGTGGCGCTGTTCGGCTGAAGAGTGTTCAAGCAGGGATGGTGAAGCGCATCTTTTGCTCATTCACAGCACAAAATTATCATCTATTTCGAGTTGAGGAGTCTCGAGCATGCTTTGCACAAACATGACGGGAAAATGTTATTGTTTTTTTCGCCATTTGGTTGGTTTACTACTAGAGACTGAAGGACGAACATGTTCAACTTTGATGAACAACATGTGAAACGTTCTCAAGTCTCCTAACCTCAAAATTGATATAATCAAAGTGTCAAATTTCAGTCCCAGTCACACAAAGCTGCATTACCTATTAACGATTTGGAAGAAAAAAAGTTTCAGGGTGTTATGATGTTTATATTGCGTGAAATATGGAAAATGAGATATTCCAACAAGCAATCAAGTACGAAATGAAGTTCGACAGATTCGCGAGAGAAGTTTTTTCACAAATAAGCAAGAAATTTTGGAAAACAGCGATAATTCAGCCCTGGCCACAGATCTACAGGCAGACTTTGCGCTCGGGTACTAATTTCGCTGCCTGCGTCGCGCCCTTGCAGCCTCATCCCGCGGGTGCCCACGACCAATGGTGGTTGGTATGCCCTATACGCTTTTCTGTTTGGAAGACGAAGGAGTTTTGGCTGTGCATCGAAAATCTCGAAAACCACTTGTAGCGAAACAGCTAGATCTGCCCACGGACCTCATTGACCTTCAACGATGCAACGGGGATCTCGAATCGGCTATGGAGTCATACAAGAAAGACAAGCCATGTTTTAGTTCTCTTTGTGGAGTCGATTCATCTCCGTATTCAGTTGCTTAACTTGCCATTACTCTTAGCAGCCATCTAGATCTCTCCTTTGTGTGAGCTTTGGCAGAGATCAGCGTGGAAGAAGGTTCGTTAAGAATTTTAGGATTTACTTAGGAAAAATTACGTAAGATGTTTTGTAGGCGAGCGCAAACAAGCGTTGGAGTATGCTGGTTATAAAAGCGTGCAAACGACTTGTTTTTTTTATAAACAATTAAAATAATTTTTTAAATTTTTTGAAGACACAAATTAGCCTTATAAAATTTTTTTTGTAAATAATTAAAATAAATTTTTAATTTTTTAAAAATACAAACTAGCTTTATAAAAAATTTTTTGTAAATAATTAAAATAATTTTTAAATTTTTTAAAAATACAAATTAGCCTTATAAAAAATTCTAAAAAGAATTTTGTCGCCCCCCCCCCCCCGATCCGAAATCCTGGACGGCCACTGCCATGCAGTGATCACAAAACGGCTGATTTTAAAGAAGTGAGATGGTGTTTTTGGACTCAAATAACCTCCTTTCATTCTTCCAAGCTTTATCTTACAAGGGAACGATACTTAGTGTCCGTGGCCTTTTGAGTTGAAATGTATACCATTACACTCGCCTTCGAACGCTGATTCCGAATCTAATTTCCGTTTTTGCTGAACGTTTCTCTGAAAAAAAGTTTTGAAGGATTTTCGCGCCAAATTTGGCCGCGCGAGGCACATACGATAGGAACACCAACATGGTAACATGTTAACATGCATTCATTTTCCGTCCAATTCCATTTTTATAGGCACCTCTTGGAATAAATATAGGAGACACTCGTACAAAAATGAATCCTTGTCAAATTTTCAACGATTGAGGACATGCATTTACCTCGAGGAAATCTAACTCTCAAAAAGATCAATAACTCTTAAAAAGAAGCTTGATTTAGGCAATGCAAAGCTGAAAAATACAGAAGAATCTGAACCTACACCTGCATCAGCTTGTGAGGCTAACGCACTAGCCACTACACCACAACTACCGGCGGTATTGGTGTTCCTATCATATCTCTAGAGGCCAGTGGCGTACCCAGGATTTCGGCTCGGGGGGGGGACAAAAATTTTTTTCTAAAGGTGCGTGGCGTTAGCCACGCACTCCGAAAAAATTTTTGGGGTGCTTCTCGAAACTTTTGTGGGTTCCCGGCCTCTAAAATCTGGAAAAAGCTGACGCCACGCCCCCGAAAAAATTTTTTTACAAGGCTAATTAGAATTTTTAAAAATTTTTAAAAATTATTTTAATTATTTACAAAAATAAACAAGTCACTTGCACATTTTTATAACCCATATAAGTAACTTTCAAAAATTTCGCGACCCATTCTCGGGGGGGGGGGGGCGCGCCCCCCCCCCCGCCCCCTCCCTCGATACGCCACTGCTAGAGGCCAAATTTGGCGCAAAAATTCTTCATAACTACTTTCAGAGAAACGTTCAGCAGAAATGGAAGTCAGATTCGGAATCAGCGCTCGAAGGTGAGTGTATTGGTATAAATTTCATCTCAAAAGGCCACGGACACTAAGTATCGTTCCCTTGTTAGTGTTTGAAAAGTATGACTATATCAAGAAAGTTGGCCATAGGATTGGTTCGATAGAAAGGCAGTGAGGATTGCTGGAGACTCTGCAAGAAAAAAGGCTGGATTAGTTGGTTATGATTGCTTTTGCGAGCATCGAGTAAATGGGTTATAAAAGAAATGTTGTGCTCCGGTATATGCGCCAATC